CAGGAAGGTCATTGATGAAAATTAAGAATAAAGTTGGTCAAAAGACACCTTTATACAAAAAAGTACAAAAAGATCTAGAAGAGTGGCCATTCAAGAGAACTTACATTTTGTGATTTGATGAGAAAGACTGAATCAGTTCAAAAATTTGTCCAGAAATACCATAACCTTTCAACTTGTGAAGAAGACCAGTATGCCAAACTGTCAAGATATCCAAAGCAACAGCTCAAGCTTCACCATTCTTATCTAACACTTGATAGTCTCTTTCAGCAATAATCATTAATCAACAGTGGACCTGGAGAAGTGAAGGTCATATTGCTTATCTGAAAGAAGACCCTGCAATGTCAGATGCTTAGCTAATTCAAATTTGATAAGGGCCTCCAACAGTTTGCCAAAAAGTGTTAGAAGGTTAATAGAATGATCGGATGGTTCACCTGAATCCTTAAAGACTGGAAAGACAGACATTTATTCTAGAACTAGCAGTATAACCTGTCTTTGACCGGTTCTTTCATTACTGAGAACTTTTGCTGTTCAATTAGAGCAGTTTAAGTTTGAAGTTAGCCCACCTGAAAATCAATATTAGTAACAACATTTGGGTGCAACTGAAGCATATCCCCAAATGCAGGGGTTAACAATTTGAATGGGGGGGATGGCCCTGAAAAGGGAACTGTATAATAATAAATCATATTATTGTAATAATTTAAACTATTTTTATTAAAGTTTTTATGAAAGATATATATCCAAGAACACATAGTAAAATGTTACTGAGAGTTATAATAGACAGGAAGTAGTAGAGAGCCATTGTCGCCAACACTGATATCTTTCTCATTTTGTTTCACCCTGCATTACTCCTTGTGCCTTATTGGCATTATCACCTTACATGGGGAGGGGATGATTAAAAAAAATATTATTTATGGTCTTAATCATTGAGAATAAAGTCTGTCTCTGCATTTATTACTGTGGAGAGGGAGTGAGCTTAATGGACCGAAATTTTTTTGAATCACAGCACTTAGCTGCAGATTGCAGCTGGTCTGGAGCACTTGATGTGTACATGTGTTTACATTTTTTTTTTTTTTACAATGTTTATGCATAGAAGATAAGAGTTGATCCTAAACTTCAACAGGTTAAAATTATAGTGATCGAGGAAGCATCCTCTTGGGAGTCAGTTCCACAAACCAGTGGTTTGTGAGAAAAGGCAGCCCAAGTGGAACTTACTTCCTGCCAATAGAATACAAACAGAATGAGGGCAATTTGCTACAATGTTTGCAGCATGGTGGGTCTTAGCTGTGAAACTTAGAACTGGTGGAACTAAGGAATGGAGCCTTACTGAACATTTTCCATGGAAATAGCGATAAAGTAGCAAGAAGCTTACAACATTTCAGCTGTGGGAAAGGGGTTGTAGGTCAGAAAATAATTCATCACCCACAAGAATGCGGAGATGTTTTTGGACTCTATCGAGGCTGGAGGGTGAGACCTGGGCAACTCCTGCCTATATATGGCAACAGTTCTCCATTTTCGGTCTGATTTGGTTCTTGTAAAGGTAGAGGATAACAGGAGGAGTCAGGTATTTGCTAGAGCAGTACAGGGAGATGACCATTTTTAGTGAGGGATCATATGTACAAATACCACTTAAGGTCTGAGTTTAAGTCCAAATAGGTGCTCAAGGCCTCCCCAAGGGAACATCCATTCATCCCAATTGGTGAATCTTCTGGGTCCAATCGGTGATGGTGGAAGATCACTAGTTTGGTTTGTGAGGCATTGTGACCAACAAATTCAAATACTTAAAGTCTGATTGCTCAAAATATGAGGCCACTCTGACAGTACCTGTTCATCACAATAGGTGAAAGTTTGAGATCCACTTGGTGATGATAAAATAATCTTATCATGAGATAAGTTTATAATATTTGACTTTGTGGATGAATCTAAGTTTTCATTTTTTTTTTCCATAATTACACTAACCAATCTGGAAAGAAAAAATTATTTGTTAGAATTTGGGGGAAATGGTTCTTAGGGAATCATAATGATCGAATCCCTAAATTAGCTGATTAAAACTGTTTGAATATTAACACTTTCAATACTGTTGCCTGGCTGTGCTGGCCCATTTGAGGAAAAATAGGAAATTGCTATAAAGACATTGACGATAATTTCTCATGAATGCCACCATTTTGGTTTTGATGAGACACTCTACACCCACAACAGACATTTATAATAAAATTATGTTATACCATAACCTATAGAGTAAAATAAGGTTGTGTTGTAGACTACTAAATGCTAGTTAGGAAATATCATTAAGCACTAGTTAGTTACTAAGTCAGATACTAGATATTTAGTCCAATATTTAGAAAAGCATCATTTCTTTCCCAACATACAAAATCCTTGGGAGTGTCACTGTATCTGAAATGTGACTGAAGTTTAAAATAGGACTGCTCAAAGAAGCATGGTAAACAATGTCTTAAATACCTGCTCTTAAGCTAATTAACAATTTCACAGCTGCATTGCTATAACATTGTGGCTGCACTGGATCATTTGATGGATAGCTGAAAATTTCTATTTACTGAAAATAAATGACTATAAAAGTGTTGATGGTGATTTTGTATGAGCTCTACTATTTTAGTTTTGCTCAGATACTCTGCAGTAAAGTGAAGGTCATATTGCTTATCTGAAAGAAGACCCTGCAATTGAAATGCAACATTGATAAACAACATCCCTCAAATCACAATTATAATAAAAATGTCACAAGACAGGTTATACTGTATGCTACTATATGCTTTTGCTCATTTTGAAATAATACTAAGCACTAATTAGTTTCTAAATCTGATACTAGACATTGACATTTAACTGTGTCTTTAAAATGCATATATATGTTGACAAATGGCGACGTTGTAAAGATGTGTAAGAACATCAACTGCAGCAGACGTGTTAATCTTTCTACCAGCTACAATTCTGCAATGCAATTTTTAGATTGGACAATATTGAAAGACAGGAAATGATGTTCTAAAATCGTGTGAAAAGGTTGAGACACACTGGTCTACATGATCATTTATTATTTGGCCATCAAGAATTTCACCTAATTATTCCTTGATACATAAATAACTGTTCAGTGATTCTAAACCAAGATGGAATTCCCTTACTGTGAGGAATTTTAGCAGTTTGGGAAGAAATTGAGACCAGACTCTTAGAAGGCTTGGAACAGAATTCTAAAACCTTGTAAAAAGGTTGAAACATTGGTTTACATGGTCAAAGGCAAATTATTTGGTCTTGGAGAATTCCATATTACCATATATACTTGTGTATAAGCTGACTTTATGTACAGTGCGACTCATGAATTTGAACCCCTCCAGAAAAAATTTACCTGTGTATAGTGCAACTAGTCACGAAAAATGCATGATTTTGAACCTCTTCAAAAAAAATTACCTGTGTCTAGTGAAACCTCCATATATTTTTTTATGTAAAAACTGATCATAAAAACTTGCACTATACTAAAGTATATATGGTAATTACTTCTTAATGTATAAATACCTGTTTGGTAATTCTAAACCAAGATGGAATTTCCTGTGCTGGAATTTTAGGGCACCAGCAAGAAACTGAAACTAACAAATTGACAAACTGTTGATCTTTCTACAAATTACTATTCTACAATGCATTTTTTTTAAAGTTATACATGAATGGAAGGAAAGAAATGATGACCTGAAATATGATGAAAAGGGGGGGGTTGAGAATTATTATTTTTATAGTAATAAAATTTTGTAACATTGTGAACATCCAATGCATCCTGCTTTCAGTTTTTCACTGACCAAATGTATTGCTCCATGTTATGTCCCAGTTCTCATTCATGTTGGTGTACATAAAAACTTGGAAATGTCTGTTGTACATTCGCAAAGAAACAAAAGGTAAAAATATCAGCACAGCATGAATAAAGGTGGAACTTGTTTCCAGTATATTTGGTTATTTATTCAGGGTTTCATGTGCACGATCTGGGCAAGTGAGTAGGCAGGGCCAGATTATCCTTTAAGCTAGAATAGGCCACAGCCTAGGGCCCCTCAGGCTTTTATAAAGCAATGATTTTAATTATCTAGATGTTATAACTTCGAAATAGATTCATAAACTGAAATGATATCAACATGACAAACTCATATCTATTTTGATTGTTTTATTGTTATAATGTTGGTTTTAAAAATATTTTTTTTGTTTTTTTTACTACAGTTGAACTAATTTGGTTTGTAAAAAATCGTAAAATAATGGTATTTCTTAAAGAATATTTTATTGACAAAAGAAGATAGCTTATTCCTAATTCTTTAAATAAGCTAGAATAGCTATGTAAATGTCACTAAAATATATCACAAGTAAAAAAAAAAAAAAAAAGAAACATATTCGAGATAAGTGTTCTGTCTGAAGGGATCCCTATGATTTCATTAATCTAGAAGCCCCCAAAAGATCATGATCTGACCACGGGAGTAGGTAGATGATATTTGGGGTGACTAATGACAGATTAACAAATTGGTTCTTCCCTTCAGCCAACGAGAACTCGCTCCCTTGAGCTATTTCTCCATTATGGATGGCAACTCATCATTGGGGGACTTGAAGCTACTCTCTAATGGGTAATCTGGAACTCTTCTCGACAGACAGTGACAATAAAGCCCATCAGCTGTCTATCTTTAATTCTAACTATGACTGTTTATATAAACCTACAAGTGGAACTTTCTGACTTCCAGCCAAGTGACACTTGTTCCCAACAGTTTTCATTTATTTTATTTTTATCAGTGTTTGGCTATCTTGAAGATCTTTATAGACTTTACTGTTGGCCATAAGAACACCAGACATTTCAGACTCAGATAAAATCACTTACTGTCAACTTCTATTTGATTGTCCTGATGACAGCCACTTTATGTCCTGTCACTATATAGTGTTCATTCCTTATCTTTATTTCTTCTGCCACACATAGTGTATTAGAACCATGTTGCCATTATATTTTTTGTTCCTCCCCTTTGTTTTTTTTCTTGCAGGATCTACCAATTTAATGGATACATTAGATCTCCCAACTGGAATTGGGCAGTATGATGATTTCCATACTATCGACTGGTTGCGAGACATCGCACGTGACCGTACGCGATACCGCAATATGGTACAAAAAACATCAGAAGGTTTTTGGCAAAGAATGAAAAAAGCCCATGATGCCTGGTCAGGATGGGTGTGTGCCTTACTAGTTGGCATGGGGGCTGGTAAGTATTAGCTTTCTCTTTTTCTCCTCTTTTTTTTCTTTTTTTTTAAGCTCACCCTCCTTTCCAATATGTTTGCTCTCACTTTCTCCTTCTTTCTATTCTGCTTCTCTTTTATTCTCTCATTTCTTGTGATTCTCATTCACTCTTTTTATTCTTTCCTTTTTTTTTGTTACTTTTCTTCCATTTGTTTTTATCTTAATCAATTGGAACTCGGGCACTACTGTTTCACTTGTAAAAAGTAGTAAAGGATTTTTTAACAATTTTTGTAAATTAGCATTCATTAGATATTCTTCAGTTACAGTATTTATCAGAACCAACAATTATTGTTTTTTTAGCATTGTCAGCCATTATTAATTTTGACTACTGTTTCTTTCATCTTAATTTGAGTTGTAAAAATTCAAAATAATATTACTACTATTAAAACTAACAGGCTGAATAAAGCCTATAAGTTTTAATAGTAGTAATATTATATTGATTTTTTATTAGATGAAGCATTGTCAACCATTATTAATTTTGACTAGTATTTCTTTCATCTTAATTTTAGTTGCTTTATTTAGCCTATTAGTTTTAATAGTAGTAATATTATATTGAATTTTATTAGATGAAGCATTGTCAGCCATTATTAATTTTGACTAGTATTTCTTTCATCTTAATTTTAGTTGCTTTATTTAGCCTATTAGTTTTAATAGTAGTAATATTATATTGAATTTTTATTAGATGAAGCATTGTCAGCCATTATTAATTTTGACTAGTATTTCTTTCATCTTAATTTTAGTTGCTTTATTTAGCCTATTAATTTTAATAGTACAGGTATATCTCGGGTTATGTTGTTATGAGTTAAGTCATTCTAGATTATACATCATTTGTTAAAAAAATATATGGAAAAATAAAAATCAAGTTTAAGTCATTTTATTTGACTTTGCATCTGTCTGCCACAAAGTCATAATATCACTAAAAAAGCATTAAAAGAACATAAAATCATGTTACTGTACAATAAATAAGAATAAAATCATATTAAAATACGTACATTTACAGTAAATGTTAATATAATCATCATAAATACTAGAGAACAAAATCTGTGACTCTGTGTTGTTGTCTTATTTAGCAGTCTTTAAGAGCTCAATATTAGCATTTTACATGGTAGTTCTAATATCTACTGCTTGGTGTCATTGGCAGTGCCACTCGTGATTCCTGCAAAATTGAAATCCAGTTTAGTTTAGGCATATGCACAGACTTGCCAGACCATACTTTCATTGCTAATGCTAAATGTAAGGCTATATCACTGATAAATTATTTTATTCAGAATAATGTACATACATATGCAATGGAGAGTGGTTATTTGTAGTTTATAGTGTAGTTATTTTGACGTAAGTCATTATTCGACCTAAGTTGTGACCTCTGGAACCAATTACCGATGTAGGGCGAGGTAGAGCTGTAGTAATATTATATTGAATTTTTATTAGATGAAGCATTGTCAGCCATTATTAATTTTGACTAGTATTTCTTTCATTTTAATTTTAGTTGCTTTATTTAGCCTATTAGTTTTAATAGTAGTAATATTATATTGAATTTTTATTAGATGAAGCATTGTCAGCCATTATTAATTTTGACTAGTATTTCTTTCATTTTAATTTTAGTTGCTTTATTTAGCCTATTAGTTTTAATAGTAGTAATATTATATTGAATTTTTATTAGATGAAGCATTGTCAGCCATTATTAATTTTGACTAGTATTTCTTTCATTTTAATTTTAGTTGCTTTATTTAGCCTATTAGTTTTAATAGTAGTAATATTGAATTTTTATTAGATGAAGCATTGTCAGCCATTATTAATTTTGACTAGTATTTCTTTCATCTTAATTTTAGTTGCTTTATTTAGCCTATTAGTTTTAATAGTAGTAATATTATATTGAATTTTTTATTAGATGAAGCATTGTCAGCCATTATTAATTTTGACTAGTATTTCTTTCATTTTAATTTTAGTTGCTTTATTTTAGCCTATTAGTTTTAATAGTAGTAATATTATATTGAATTTTTATTAGATGAAGCATTGTCAGCCATTATTAATTTTGACTAGTATTTCTTTCATCTTAATTTTAGTTGCTTTATTTAGCCTATTAGTTTTAATAGTAGTAATATTATATTGAATTTTTATTAGATGAAGCATTGTCAGCCATTATTAATTTTGACTAGTATTTCTTTCATCTTAATTTTAGTTGCTTTATTTAGCCTATTAGTTTTAATAGTAGTAATATTATATTGAATTTTTATTAGATGAAGCATTGTCAATAGTATTATTAATTTTGACTAGTATTTCTTTCATCTTAATTTTAGTTGCTTTATTTAGCCTATTAGTTTTAATAGTAGTAATATTATATTGAATTTTTATTAGATGAAGCATTGTCAGCCATTATTAATTTTGACTAGTATTTCTTTCATCTTAATTTTAGTTGCTTTATTTAGCCTATTAGTTTTAATAGTAGTAATATTATATTGAATTTTATTAGATGAAGCATTGTCAGCCATTATTAATTTTGACTAGTATTTCTTTTCATTTTAATTTTAGTTTTTTATTTAGCCTATTAGTTTTAATAGTAGTAATATTATATTGAATTTTATTAGATGAAGCATTGTCAGCCATTATTAATTTTGACTAGTATTTCTTTCATTTTAATTTTAGTTGCTTTATTTAGCCTATTAGTTTTAATAGTAGTAATATTGAATTTTTATTAGATGAAGCATTGTCAGCCATTATTAATTTTGACTAGTATTTCTTTCATCTTAATTTTAGTTGCTTTATTTAGCCTATTAGTTTTAATAGTAGTAATATTATATTGAATTTTTATTAGATGAAGCATTGTCAGCCATTATTAATTTTGTGTTGCTTTTCATCACAATTGCTTGATCTGTCATGTTCAAATTATCAAATGAAAGAAATTTTCATCAAAAATTAACAATGGCTGACAGTTCTTCATCTAATAAAAGAAACTTCTAAGTCACTTAGTATTCCAGCCTAAATCTGCATTTATTTCAGGTGACATACTGAGAAGTAATGTACACACTGTAATGCAAATGTCAAATTCATGAATGAATTAAAGCAGCAGGTGTGTCTCAGGTGAACTGAATAATTCAACTTTAATTATGTTGTCACATGTGACATGAATTTGATTGTAGAGGATATTTAATTAATAGAGGATATATGTATGAGGTTGATATAAATTGTCCTAACTTGGGCTTTGTTTAGCTTAGGGCCTTAACAATCTACATTCAACACTGGATGTCTGTACAAAGAAGTACAGAAAAATAACTCAAGTTATATGATTCAACACCAGTCAAGACTTTACAAAGAAAATGTGTGTTGTTTCAAACTCGTTACTTTGTTTCAGTATTTTATTGAGTTTGATTATAATTAATTACCATTATGTTGCAGGTATCTCCTCTTAGGTTGTGAACATAAACATTTTATATTAAATATTTATAGGCTCCTAGAACATTTATCCCACAGACAATATTGGTGGACTCATGTGAGTCTGGGTAAAAATAAAAAACAAAAGAGTGAATATAAACAAACAATATTGCATGTTATTAACAAAAGGAATTACATGTGCACACAATTGAAATGAAAGGAAAAAGTTGTGAGAATGTGTTTGTGTGTGATAGACATGTATGTGTGTGTGTGTGAGAGTATTCAAAAGTCAACAGAGGACCAAGGAAGCGAATGTGCCCTGTTGGCAGCGTTCTTTAATGACATCAACTACATCTGGAAGTAAGAGTTAAAAAGTGGAAGAGAGAGAATATGATTGCCTTTTTGGCGGTGCAAAGTGGGGTAACCCACAACTTCAAATCATGACACATGATCAAACAACTGTTTTTTATGAGCAAACAAGATATGAAACTCACTTAATTTTGAAATCTTCTGTTAACATTAAACTTATATGAACTTGGAAGGAGTTAGAGAGATGAAAATGTGACCTTGTAAAAAAAAATATATTGAAATTGTCTACAAAGCTAGGAAAAGAAAATGGATACAAATACCAATTTTTATATTCAAGAAATAATTGAAGTTGTGCTTTTTTTTTTAAAATTATTTTTGTACCAAGTTCCTTCTTTGAAAACACTTTTCATACAACAGGAAATACATACAGAAAGATTTCTTATTGGATCTTTGTTGAAGGTCGGGCAGATTGTGGCTGGTAGTCAAGTGATGTTCCATCATATTTGAAATTTGTTGTGTCATAAAAAGGAAAGGTTAACACACATATAGAAAATAATAAGTAGTTTATTCCAGAGAATAATATGGTACCCATTTGAGAACACAGACTGATGTAATAAAGAGTTAATCATTAACTCCTCTCACCCAGTAAGAGAGAGTGCTGTTGAGACTTAGACCAGTCCATCTTGTGGCGGTGTTCAGCTACTCTACAACAAAATGTAAATAATATTCGTACACTTGTACTTTACCTGAGGCTTTCTCTTTAAAAGTTTCTCTAAGCATTGCAACAGTCTCTGAAACACACTTTTTTGTGGGGGTGGAGGTGGGTATCAACTGTCACAAAAATTAACAAATATGCTAAGAAGCACCAGAAAAAAAGCCATATTTAACAAATCAATCAATTTAAAACCTTGCCATAATGCAATGTTCACAATGAACTGTTGTTTTTTTTTTTGTGGGTGAGGTGATCATTTTACTTCAAGCAAAGCAATAAATCCACTATGACATTAGGGGTTAGTTACTGAGTGCAAAAAGAAAAGAAATATTAAGGAGAGAGAATAATAAGCAGACAGGAATTGATGTTGCATTTAAATTTTTGAAGATCAAAGTTGACTGGAAAGCAAGAAGCCAGAAGAGAGTTCCACAAACAAGATGAAAAGAAACTGTTAGCATATGACTTATGATTACATCTAGCCATTTCAACTGTAAAAATGATGAGAGCTTGCTGCCAATGTGTTACTGCTCTTGAATTCATAAAGTCTAGGTACCATAGAGGAAAGTTCATCAAAACAATTACCATGAAAATATTTATAGAAAAGTACAAAGAAGCTACATTATGGTGGTGGGAAGTGATTGAAGCAGAGATGCCAGGTTGAGACCAATAACATTGCAGATTCTTCTTTGTACTTTGAAAATAGTCTCTGACTATCTTCAACATTTGTACCTGCAAAAAAATGGTGTATCAAAAGGTTTTCCCTTGACACTGCTATTATTTTAACTACCTTCCATACTTGGCAATTTTTATCATTTTAAAAAGTGATTATTAGAATTATAATGAAGCCTAGACATATGACGAAAGTGAATTTTTACATATTTTGTTCTTGAGAACTTACAACAAAAATATTAAACACTATTAGAGTGCTCATTTACTAGAATAATTTTATGTTTGCAACATTCTAAAAACTGATACTATTGCATTAAAACTAAGGCAATACAATATTTATCATTTACCAATTTATAAAAGAAATAAATATGAAAAGAATTTTTATTCATAAATTTATAAACATTTACTAAATTATTAAAATATGGGAACCAACTATAAGGAAATCCTTATTATTTACCATTTTATAAAGTTTGAATCTCAGTAGATTCCAAGTTTTACCAATCATTCCAATAAAAAATCTAATAAATAAATAGTGTTTATTATTTTTATTGTAAATTCTCAAGAACAATAAAATATATAAATTTACTTTCATGTTTAAGTTTTATTAAAATTCTAGCCATCACTTTTTAAAACAAACATTGTCAACAAGTGAAGATAGTTAAAATAATAGTGCTGTTAAACAAACTTCCTTTTAACACACTGTTTTTTGTTTTTTTTGGGGGTGGACATGAAGATTAGAGATTGCTGAATCTCTAAACACCTAGCAGAACACCATACCAGATGTGGCAGCCAGTTTGTTCTATTCGAATTCCAGATTTCAGAAGTATATCCTCAGTTGTAAGCAAATAAATATAAAACAATGATATGTTAGCATTTAGAGTGTTTTAAAGAAGTAAGACTGGGATCAATTCTCAAATTTCCTGCCAAATATTCTACAGTTTTTGTCTCTGAAATTTTATTGTTTCTGTACATTTTAATTAACATTTATTTCATAATTGCTAATTGTCTGACATGTGACAGATGTGTTTTGTTCTCCCCTTCATGTATTTCATCTTGCAGGTTTGTTGGCTGGACTGATTTTCATTTGTACCACATGGATGTCTGATCTGAAGATAGGCATTTGTCTTAATGCTTTTTGGTTAAACCGGGAACAATGCTGTTGGGCAGCCAATGACACAAATTATGAAGAGGAAGGTGACTGCGCACAGGTACTACATAGAATTCTTCTTCTTTTATGTGTTATGTCCTTTTAAGACATAGACGATCATGGCTCTCCACTTTCCCCTATCCCTTGTAGCTCTCAATAAGTTTTGTCCTTTTGCTACCTCTCCCAGACCCTGTTCTTTTATCCACTTGCTTAAGGCTGCTAGGTATGTCACACATTGCTTTCCTTTGTCTCTTTTTCACACTGTTCACCCTGTGAGTATCAGATTCTCCAAGCCCTCCTTTCTCATTATGTGTTCCAGAAATTTCAGCTGCCTCTTTCTGATGTTAAGTATAAGCTTCCTCCTTATTTGCATCCTCTCCAAAACCTCATTGTTGCTCACACACTCTGTCTATGATATACTTATCATCCTTCTGTAGAACCATACTTCCATTGTCTTGAGTCTCTTCTTCATCTTTGAGGAGAAGACCATCCAATATTAGCTGCTGTAAAGGAGGACAAATATCACATACTCTTTTCAGTACTCTTTTCTTTGTTACCAATGAAATCCTCCTGTCTCGCAATACTCTGGTTAGCTTTTGGAATGCATCTTTGGCCATTCCAATACGTCTTCGGATCTCAGTGTCATACTTTCCGTCCTCTGTTAAAACACTTCCCAGATATTTAAATTTCCGCATCTGCTTGATTTTAGTGTCCCAAACTTGTAAATTGCATTTCGGCCTCATCCTTTTACTGATGACTATGCATTCTGTCTTGTAGTTTATGCTTAGTCCCTTCTTCTCACTCTCCTTCGCTACCTTATACAGAAGATGATGTCAAATAGTGTGGCTATAATGTTTACTTTCTATAAATGTCTGTAATACTTACTGAACATAATAAAAATCTGAGGGTATATAATTTTTTCAAGTTTATGATATAAATCTTGAAAGCTCCTGTGTATGTTTTCAAGTTTGTTTACTATATTTTTAACTAGTTTAAAAGGCACCCTATCAAGTGGCATTTAAGCTAGCCCCTGTAGAGGGTTCTTGATTCACATTAGATAGGGAGGATTAGATGTGATAAACTACAGAAGAACTCAAAATTGATTGCTGCATTTAAGTATTGCATTAATATTTAAGCTTACATTTTAAAAGTTCAATGATAATTCTTCTGACACCACTTAATTTAAAGACAATTTGGTGTACATAGGTCCTTACTTTCCGTACAAACAATTATTTTTATTTCATGGGTGACTTTCACTGAATTCTGCAATTAATTTCAATTATTCCCAAATTAATTTCCAAGTTATAAAAATTGTTATCATACAAAGTTTTGTCACAAAAATCACGTAAAAAAATCGCCAAAAACAATCGCATTAATGAAAACTTAAGAATCCGAATCCTGATCTGGGCGGGAATGTTTTTAATTTGTTCACAGAGTCAGCCTTATTCCAAAGTGGTATATGTTGGGTTACGACCTCTGGAGGTCAAGTTGAAAAAGCATGACATACTGACACTTGCATTTATTATATAGATAGTTATATCTGTAGTAATCTCTTTCACATTCCTCACTGATATGTCTTTGTTGTTGAACCCCCCAACTGGCTCGTTCAAAGTACTCCTTACTGTCCATAATCATTCTCCCTCCAAAATCTACTGGCTTTTATGTGTGCCTCAGTCAGTTATGCAGATTTTTTTCATGCCCACCCACAGGTATTTAATTAGTCCTAAGGTAAGAGATAATTTTCATCACTGTGTATGGCATAGACAATTTTGTGTCTCTTTCATCTTTTGGATAGGTCATGTTCATTACATTCCCCTCACCCGATCACATAGCAGCTGGGAGGAGGGCTCTTGTGTCTGGTGCTTCTCCAAAGTGTTGCTACAACAGGCTCACTTGCCTCTTCAAAAGTTTCTGCTATGACCTACTGATCCTCTTCACCATCAGTTGAATAGTCATCCTTGCATCCATCATTGGTAGACACATTCCATCATCACTTGATGTGGCAACCTCAATCTCCACAGGGTCACCCACTAAAAGAGGGAGATGGCGAAGGACTCTCACGTGGTGCAGTATTCCTTTTACGTAGACTGCCTGGGGATTCAAAATTCCAGTCATGGTGCTGAAATAGCTTGTAGTAATATATTTGTAATATATCTGTAGTAGACCGTTTCATATTCTTCAGTACCACGTTTTGATCCTTGTTCCTCACAGCCAGCCCATTTAAACGTATTCCTTATTTATCCGTAAATCTTCTCCCACCTCTGAAGATATATCTGCCCATCACCATTGATGCACGTTTCTATACTAAGTGTCCTCACTCCAACATCTTTCTTTTTCACTGTCCGACATATCTTTCTACTGACAATAGCCCAAGAACACCCAGAATCCATCAGCACAAAACCACTCTTCCCACACATGTACACCTCTATTGTGTGCAGCGCTGAATTCACATTTTGCCGGGAGAAGAGACTGGCACTGTAGACTCTCTCACTTTGTTCTTTTTTTATGAACAATTCCGCTCAATTGATCAATGTCATCATCAGTCGAATTGTCGTCCTCGTCATTCATCATTGGTAGATACATTCCATCATCACTTGATGTGGTGACCTCAATCTCCACAGGATCCGCCACTACAAGAGGGAGATGGCGAAGGTCTCTCATGTGGTGCAGTATTCCTTTTACGTAGACTGCCTAGGGACTCAAGATTTCGGTCACTGTTCTTTTTCTCATGTATCTATTGGGCAATATTTTTACCAGCACAAACCTTTCCATTTTTATATATTCCTTGTCTAGCTCTTAATATTGAGCACTTTATTTACAAAAAAATAGAATCTGCTTTCCTTAAATGCATTATGCTTCATGAATTTACAAGTTGATAAGTTTTGTTAGGCATAAGCGACCCTTGTTAGTATTACTTAATTATACATATAGGTGTTTGTTTGAAAAAATAGATAAGTTAATCTACAGTCCAACATTCAACATAAACATTAGTATATCTGTGATACATTAGCATCTTGATAGAAGGAAGAACAAGAACACAAAAAGGAACACCAAAAATGAAATAAAAAACATTTTATAAGCTAAACATACAATACCCATATGACAACAATGAGTCATGGTAACAAATTGTGTCAAACAGAGAAATTTAGGCACATACATATGAAGACATGCAGTACTTAAAAGAGACTAATAAAAGGAATATCTCCAAAGGGGGTATGAGACAACCCTATAATATATTTTCTGTTCCTTTCTTTCCTTGGACATATATCTTTGCCAGTTGAAAACTAAGCTCCCAACAGGCTGTCACATGACCCTTAAAGACCTCTTGAGAGAAAATTTAAACAATAATGATGGATTAATGGATAGCAGCACAGATTGAGGAATCAGAGTGCTGAGTTTGAATTCCAGTCAAATCCATTACCTTCACTTATGTGCTAATACCCTGAGGAAAGGCATGAATCTTCTTCTCAAAAGCTATGGATAAATAGCAGGACAGACTGAGTTCTATAGCCTTGGATGGCAACTGGTCTAGGAGAAGGACAACTCTGAATCCCAAACCTGTAAAGGGTTGTTTGGGGACCTTGTGGCACAGTCCTTTTATTTTGATAGCATTTTTAAGATCTTCAAAGATACATTGCAGACTGCAGGGACTGCCATGTCAATTTTTTTTGTTTGCCGTCTCTAATAACGATCTGCGTGATTAGCTTTGATTTTTCTGTCTGTGTTATTAAATTTACTTGTGATTACATATGAGTTCATACATTTTGTTAATTTGTTTATTTCCTTTATATACTATTTTATTTATTTACTTATTTTATTTATTTTGTGTTGAGTAGTGTGATATGGCTATTTTATTTTTTAGTTTAGTTTAATGTGTGTGTGTGTGTGTGTATATATATATATATATATATATATTTTTTGAACAATAAAAAATATTAAAAATTAAAAATTAAAATCTTCACACACACACATATATATATATATATATATATATATATATATATATATATATATGAAAAATTCTCCGATTTAACCAGTAGAAAGACAATATTTATGAATAAAAAATGACAATAGGAAAACTGGTAATTGGTAATTACCAGTTTTCCTATTGTCATTTTTATTCATAAATATATATATATATATATATATATATAACAAAAGTTATATTTTGTCTTAATTTTTGTTCCTTTATTGTTCTCTTTCCTTAATGTTTCTTTTTTTCCTCATATTCTCTGAACACTGATTAACCTATGGCATTTTTGTGTCTTTATTGCCTTGCTTGGGGTGAAATGATTAAAAATAATTTTTCTAAAATAAAAAATATCATATTATTTGCATTCTATAAAGTGTATATATTTGCATTTTTCTTAATATTGTTTTACAAGATATAAATGTTTTAGTTTTCAATTTTTAAGTAACATGGTAAATAGCTTTCATGTCTGCATTTTGAAATAAATTCTGATCTGGTAGTTTGGAAAAGTGATTACAGCTATTTTCTTCTCCAGACAAAATTTTGCAGTTTTGGTATTTATTGCTGTAGGCTAGTATTGTTTTCCTTATTTTCTATTATATTTTTGGTGTATTATGGATTTTGTTTTGAAGTTCCTATACATGTTTAGAAAGGTCTCTATTGTTTGCATATTTACTATTGTTAAAAGATGTTTTATGTGCATAGTTTCTCTGTTTCCATTGTTCTTCAATTACTCCTATGTATATTTTTTCTTTGTTATATTCTGTTTTTACATTGACTTGATATATAATATTGCTTTGCAGGCAATTGCTATTTAAGGGACATTCAAATTCAATATCACTGTTTTATGCATAACATCATTTTAGATTAATTTGAATCCCTGTGTTCCATAACATGTCAGGATATAGCCAACAAAATTTTGTTAATGACTGAGACAGGCAAAAGCACTATCATCAACTTGAGTATATTCACACTTTTGATCCCAATGTACAACACATAGAACATTTGTTGATATGGTGTGGACGCATAAAGCATTCATAAATATAGTGCTGAGATAGGAATCAACACTACATAATGACTATTAGTTTTACACTTCAATAGAATCTTCAGTCTATATATGTATTTATTTATATTTTTTTACAGTAGTCTTCACCCTGTACAAGGCTCGAGAGCCACTCAGTAAGTAGTACAGCTTATGGGAATGTGGGGAGGATAATGGCTAATCCTAGACTTGAACAGGTTAAGATTTTAATGATCATGGAAGCAACCCCTTGGGAGTCGGTACCACAAGGCAGTGGTTTATGGAAAGAAGCAGCTCAAATGAAACTTACATCTTAGAGGAATGTGAAGGGAATGAGTGTGGTTCACTTCAATGTCCAAGACATGGAGTGTCTTAGCCATGAAGGTTAGAATTGGTGGAACTAAGGAGTATAGTTCATCTAAACATTCCATGGAAATAGTAGTAGAGCAGCAAGAGGCTTGTGATGTCTTTTGTTTGTGAGAAATGGGTTGAAGAATGGAAAATACAAGGACCTACAAGTGTCACTTAAATGTCACCTACAAAGACTGAGTTGCTTTTGAACTCTATCAAGGGTGGAAAATGAAGACTAGGTTTGGTCTGATCTGGCTCTTGCAAAGGTAGAGCATAACAGGGGGTATCATGTACTTACTGGAGTGGTACAGGGAACCAACCATTTTTCCAGAATCTTTAGTGACAGATCATATGCATGAGTTCAACTTGGGGGTCTGGATTTAGTTTAATTCTGAATAGGTGCTCAAGGCCTCCCTGAGGGAACATCCCATCAACACAATTAGTGAACTTTCTGGGCTTGATCAGTGATGGTTGAATGTCATTAGTTTGGTTTTTGAAGTATTGAATGTGACCTGGAGACACAAGTGCAGTTAGATGATGGACAGTGTGTTTAGAAGATAGTGACAAAAATTGTGTGTGACAAAACTTGTTCTGAAAAGCACTGTACAGCTGTCAACATCATAAATGTTCATTAGTCATAAAAAAACAGTAAATCCTCATTGAAAAATTATACTTTGTAATAGACAACTTGCTCTCTCTAGTTATTGTACTCTCTCTATCTGTTGTATCAGGCTGTAGGGATACAGAAGGTCATTAACTCCCTTCAGTGGAGAAAAGTCACATGGGTCATGTGACGGCTGCTTAATGATGTCACACCATACAATGACAAAAGTGGCAGTCAAATTTGTTTATTTACAGCAGCCAAACCAAAAGATTGCTTTCTTTAGCTTGGCCCATCATTACCTGAACAGTGGCTAAATCTACCTCCCCAGTCCATGGTGCTGTTGCCCTTTAGGAATATATCTTTCCCAGATATAGAAACTCCAGCTCACAGTTCTCAATTTGGGAAATCCTAATCTTACAGTTTCCCATTCATAGGATATTGCCTCCTCTGGGACATGGTAGATGAATGTGGCACCATTTGAATCTGGTGTCCTAAATATTGCTTCTCCAGACTCAGGTGTATGTCCATATTATAAGAACCTTACTTTTTGTTTCTCCTTGCGCTCTGCTTTGCCATGTAGATATATATATATTTATATTTTTCTCTGTGTGGGACACATGTATATATAGTTTTGTGCATGTCTTAGAGGTGTAAAAGTCTCTCTGTGGACAAAGCGTGTTTGTCATTCTTTTTCTATTCAGCTATTCTGTTCCATCTGAAGAGTAAGTTGTTATTACATCACAGATACAATAATGCCCATAATTGAGGAAATTCAAATGGGAGAATAAATCTTTCTTCCATAGCAACCTCCCATTATAAGGCCATATTTGTTGGGTGGTAGCTTGACTATATATACTAGTCATTAGGACATTATGAGTAACAAGGTCAGTTATTTCCATTTTATTGTGTTACTCTAACATACATAATTGTGAATTTATACAACTAAATATAAAAGATTTCTATTCTTCAATAACCAAACCCATGCTAGATAAAGCCATCTCCTTAGCCCAGGAACATATAAAAAATAAGTAGATATAAGTTAAAAATCATCAAGCATTGCCTAAAGTCACTATTATTTGACAATGAAGTTGATTGGCTAAAGAAAGAAGAAATATTTGATGTTACAATGGGAAGCTTCGATGTAGCCAACAATGACCTGATAAGCATATGTGTACTACATGAACTAAGCAAAATAAACAACAAAAAATAATATAGGCCTCTACAAGGATGGTGGTCTCATAATCCTAAGAAACTGTAAGAGACAAAAACCAGAAAAATAATCACCAAAATTTTCAAAAATATATGATTTAACATAGACATAAAAAGAAACCTAACAGACGTTGATTTCCTAGACATCACACTCAACCTCAGTAAACATACATATCAACCAGATAGAAAACCCAATGACAAACTGCTTTACATACACACATCTTCCAACCAACCAATAATCAAGCAGATGCCATTAACCACAGGTTATCTATTTCTCCAATGAAACTATCTTCAACAAAGCTAAAAAGAGTATGAAGCAGCCCTAAAAGATGCTGGATTTTTGGCAACACTTACATACACACCACATAGTACAAAAAAGCCAACAGGAAAAGTAATAACACATGGTTTAACATATACAACAAAAGCATAAAAATAAATGAAGGAAAATATTTGTTAAACTCATCCCTCCCCCATCAAGCATTCTACACAAGAGATTCAACAGAAACATTAAAATCAGTGACAGATGCACTGAGAACCTGATGCAAATAATAAAAAGGTACAACAGAAAAATAACCAACAAACCACCCACACCAATGAAAATCCACCTGTAATTGCAGAGCAATGTATAAACATCTCATTCCTATTGCTCAGTTATGGTTCACCAAGTTTTCACTGAAGCCAAGTACACACTGCTCAGCCCAGAGATTGAACTCAAAATTAATATGTCACCAAATTCACAAACCAACTCTAATCCATTCAGCAGTACAAATAAGAACTAGACAAGATATTCCTAGATATGGAAAATGGAAAGTGAACAGTCTACACCCCGTAGATTAAATAAAGTGTTCAGTTTGAAATTTCCAGTAGCTTACCCAGATCAATATATACTTTACGAATGTCAAAGGACACAGCAGCCAAAACGTCATGATATTAACACCAAAGATGAAGATAATAGTTTATATGTAAATAAGTTGGATGTTGTTTTGCAAGAATGTTAATTTTTTTTATGGCTCTACTGAAATAAACTGGTGTATTAAACTTGAAATTCAGCAAATATGCATTAATCACATTTTTTTTTTGTTTTTTTATTCTTTTTTTTGTCAGTGGTACTCTTATTCCAAGTTGTTTGGCATAAAAAACAGTCAGGGAACTGGATCCTACATAGTTGAATATATCCTGTACATTTTAATTGCATTGTTCATGGCCGGCCTTGCAGCCATGTTGGTTCGTGTGTTTGCACCTTATGCTTGTGGTTCTGGCATTGCTGAGGTAAGTGATTCTTGATTTTATCTTTGTTTAATTGTGGTTTATCTAAGGAAATTTTGCAGAAGGGGAATCTGTATATTATACACACACACAAATTAATAAATATTCATATTTTTTCCTCACCGGTAGCACAACTCAGAGTTTCATGCACAGCACAATCTTCATGTACTGAGTTAAGACTGACCGTTACATAATTTAAATTTTGTTAAATATATCTGGTTGTCACAATGATGAGGCAATCCATATTTTACACAAGGATTTTTTTATTTTGAATTTATGTTTTCCAAGAGTGTATTTTAGATAACACAACTTAATTAGCTTATATCTACTTATGTGTATGCCTTTGTTATAAATATGTATATGTGCATATATATATATATATATATATATATATATATATATATTATTATATCTCTATCTATAAAAATCAGGATATGTGTGTGTGTAATGAATGTACAGCTGCAATTTTTAATGGATTTGGACCAAAATTTACATGCACATGCTCCAAGTTAGTGGAAAGGCCTAGACCAACTTTGCCTTTCCCAACTCCCATCGATAGTGGAAATAATCAATTTTTTCATGCTTCTACAGCAGTTTTCATGTAATTTTGTGGCCATTAAAGCCAGGAAGATTCTATTGGCCAGCATGAGAGCCAACAGCTGACTGACACGAATGTTAACTAGCATTTTTCGTAACAGATTTAATGTTTAGTATAGAGCTTAGAAAACATTCACAGTGTGATATAAGCAAGAAGTAAGGCATTTAGCAACATCAGCATGGCAAAGGGCACTCCTTTAAAGGCAAGGAAGGATAAAAATATTTTAAGTCAAGTGATAGCGATTGCTGTATGAGTCGTACGATTTTTGAATCAAGCATGGGCAACGCCGGGCCATGCTGCTAGTATATAATAAAATTATTCGTAATCCATATGGAATTTCAAGAGGATATAGATACATTGAGAGCTCTATGTCAAAAGACAGCACAAATAAATATATATATATATATATATATATATATATATATATATATATATATATATATATATAGTTTTATATTTTTTATTTTGAATAGATCTTTTTTATGATTAAATTGAAATCTTTAGCCAAGTTCTGAATATTTTTTGAATGTTCTTAGCCATCCACAATTTTTAATATGAATTATAACAGGTTTTTTAAGTTGAATACATACGTGTCAAAATCTTAACTGAGTAAGGCTCCAGACAGATTTTTGAATTTACACTTAAAATTTTTTTCAAATGTATTCTCAATTGCCAATTTCATGTAACGACTTTTGTCTACAACCTGGATGTCAGTTTAAGTCATCATGGGTGCTAATACAACTGAAACAACACAATGCTCCCCCCCCCTTTTCCTACATGATGATAACTTAATATCTTTCTTTCTCCTACTCTCTATATGAAATCACTATTCTTAATTTTTAAACCTAGAGTAAATTTTTCCATCTTCATTTAGTTTACAGGTCTGAAGATCTGAAGCCATGTTTTATTGACTTCAATGAAATAAAATATCACCTATGGTTTTTTAAGTGTTTGTTTGTCATTATATATATATATATATATATATATATATATATATATATATAAACAAAACCACACATTTTTCCAGCAAACACCTCATCAGAAGAATCGTTGTCAACCTAAATAGAATATTTAAACAACTCAAATTATTCCAGTAAATATAAAGAGGAAAAAATCAGGATTCACAAGCCTCTTAGTAAAAAAAAAAAAAAAAAAAAAAAAAAAAAAAAGAATAAACAAATTTTTCTTTTTGTTGGTACAAAGACGGTCAATGTAATTTAATGTAAACTGACTCTAAAATATAAAGATGTTTTGCTGATTGTACATTGTCCAAAACAGTTAATGTCAAAGTATATTTGTCAACACAATCTGGAGTGTCTAAAAAGGTGCTTGCTTCTGTTTCATCTGCACAAGATATGTATTATGGGTAACAATAACCTGTCTTATCTGATATTGTGCAATCTGTGTTTCAAGACGCAGTTGGCAATTCATCTTTGTATTTTAGGGCTTCAGAGTAATGAGTACATTATTCCTCATTTATCCTTAAAAAATTACTCAAGATTACCTTTCAGGTCTTATATATGAAGTTGAGATCTCCAGTAAACACTGTAGATGACCAATACTTGAACTTAGCCGAATTTCATAACTCCGTAATAACATATTCTCTTGGTATCAGTTTAAACTGGTGACTTCTTTTTCCTTATAATATGAACATTTTGTATAAAGTTTGTATTTTCTGTTTCAAATGAAATCTTGGGAAATTTTCCAAAATATTTCAGTGGAATTTTTAATTTTGAAATTCATAATTATTATTAAGAAACCTTCATTTCACAGGGTTTGGTGACTTTTCTTTTCTCTCCATGCATCATCAGTTATACCTGATATTTTTCTTTTGAAAAAACTATTGTGCTATGATATGCAAGTGATACATTTATGATTTTTCAATCATTTATTCTTAGATTATAAAAAATAATTCAGTAAAATGTTTAAAAGTACAGTGCAACCCGGATATAAGAGAGTTGTTGGGACCGGAGAAGAAGTCTCTTATATCTGGATTTCTCTTATATCCGGGTTTGGTCTATTTTGTTTACATTAACACAGGCTCTAATTTGGGACCAGAGAAAATCTCTCTTATATCCGGGTTTCTCTTATATCCGGGTTACACTGTAAATAAAAAAAAATGAAATTACATCCATACTCTGAGGGTCACTAGGCTAAATGTGTTAAATGTTGCAACCAATGCATTTTGAGATATACAGAAATAAATCTAATCTTGTGTTCTTAACTTAAATCCTTCTGATGTCCATTTAAAAAGACACCTTCTTTTTTCTCGAAGAAGGAAATTACTGGAAAGTAATTGAAACTCACCTGAAGTGAGCTGAATGTGTAATTTTCCTCATGCCAATGACACTTCCACCGAGCTTCTCTACGGCATATGACTTCACTGAATTTTGATGTGTTCCTCTTGAATTTATATTTAAACTGGGGTCATCAGGAGAGAATGTGCACCATTTCAGGGCCTTCCTCTCAACGGTTTCAGTTGCACACCGGCCCCCCTCACTGATGAGGGTGGGGCCGGTGTGCAACTGAACATTTTGCTTAAAGTTCATATTTTCTTGATTTCAGCTGAAAACTTGGAATTTTCACTTTCCATAATTATATTTTATAATCATCCTTCAAATAAATATTTCTTATATCTCTGATGTCATTGATGTTCCAGATGATAATTTTAATTTCATTGTTTTCTTTGTAAAAAAAATGGAGCCAATCTATTTGTAACAGAAAAGTCGCCAACTTGAATTATCTCCCCTTATTTTTCTCTTTCCAGATTAAAACCATTTTAAGTGGCTTCATTATTCATGGTTTTCTAGGCAAATGGACACTGTTAATCAAGTCCGTGGGCATGATACTGGGTGTTGCATCTGGACTCAGTATAGGTAATGAAGGTCCCTTCATCCATGTAGCTTGTTGCTGTGGCAATATATTTTCTTATTTCTTTCCAAAATATGCCAAAAATGAGGCGAAGAAAAGAGAAGTAAGTCACATTTTTGTTTTACTCTATTTTTCCTTGTAAAAAGGATACACCCTTTCTTTCCAGCAGTACACTTGGGGGAATGTTTATTAAAATTTTGAAAATTAAGAGATGCCTACACCTCTGCACTATATTTGAACCCTGCTTTGTTTATCAAATTATAGTGTTTGTGAAGAAAAACTTTAAGCTATATAAAATAAATATTTTGTAAAATAAAGAAACAGGCTCAAATTATAGCAGGCATAGTATTGGAACATATTCTGTTAATTAATCAGTTTAAAAAAAAATTAAAAATTTCTTTTAATTGAAAATTATTAATAAAACTGAGTGGATACCAACTTAAAATAAAAATTAATTTATTTATAACTTACTGAAAAAGATAAAAATTACACATAATTTAAAACATGTACCAAATTGTTAATCTGAAAAGTTTCAGATTTTAACAATATATAGTTATTAAGTTTTATACTCTTCAAGTAACACACTTTAGAATTGAGCAAAGTATCCTGTAGTCAGAGTTAGTCTGTGTGATAATCTGAATAGCAGGGATGTAACAGTCCGAGTTGAAGTCATTAATAACTGTTCCTGCGTCTAGTCTACTTCCTGCCATATAAAAAAATATCTTCATAAGAAGGAATTGAACAATTTTTGTAAAATTCCTCAACAATTTCTGGAATATAAAAATCTTGGATTTACACGTTATCTGCTTTCTTCTTTTCCTTTCCTTTCTCTTTTTGGATGAGTTGAACATTTTTACAAGGTCAAACTTTCACCCCCCCCCACCACCACCTTCCACATAACATTCTACAATATGCAGCTTTTCAATTTAAAGAGAGACACAAATTTTTAAGATAATACAAACCAACCTGGTATTCTGCCATTATTAGTATCCCTACGCACTCAGTTACCACCCATTCTTTGATTCTTTCTCTCTCTTAAAAACTTTTCCCTTTTATCTGAAACCCTAACACTCTCCCCCCCTCCCTCTCCCCCCCCACACAAAAATGAACACCATTCATTTATTAAATTTTTGGAAATTGAAAAACCATCCTATTTGATACTTGGCCATTTATTTCAGAGATAAGAATATTACCATAAAAAGAACAATGACTGTCGTAAATAAGAGAAGGACAGTGACACTCTTTTATGACACCATATTTGTTTACAGCCCGTTCTCTGAATTACGATAGTCAGCCATATTCCAGAATACCAGGAACACATGTGATATGAACCCTGCTTGTATTTTGCTGAATAAAGCTTGGATGAACTTATCTTCCGAGTCTCAGTCTTCACAATCACTATAATGCATTTATTAATGCAAAAGATATACTACTTACCTGTAAATTATTTACCTGTAAATTACTTACCTGTAAATTATTTACATACAAGTAAATCTTATTCTACAATAACTAAGATTTTCATCCGAGTTTACCATTAAAAAAAATTGAAATCAACAAGCACGACAACTCTAGAAATAAGGATTCTTCTCAGAATCAGATATATAATAATTTTATTTTTATTCTGACCACTGACAAACCCTTCTTTCCATATTTTTCATGCATTTCTATAGTAAAATCATTAACAATACCTTTACATTATACATCTAAGAGCTCTTTTCTGACAGTTTATTGTTTATTTAAACAAATCCAAATCAACATGGTGGTGTAATGGATAGTGTTTTGGATTGAAGATTCCGAAAGCCAAGTTTAAATTTTATTTGAGTTCATTACATTCACTGATGTACTAATACTCTTTGTGAAAGGCATGAATTCATCTCTTCTTCTCCCCTTATATGGGTCAAATAGCAGGAGAGACTGGCTCCTGTAAACTTGGTTGGTGACTAATCTAGGAGAAGGAAAACACTGAATTCAAACCAACCTGAAGAGTGTTAAGCTCTGTAGGGCTGTTTTGCTCAGGAAGTACCACTGCTACTGTGGCTGCAGGTTATGTGGTCTTTCTACGATTACATTGGTCATGGAATTTGTGAATAATTCCTTCAGCAAATACTGAGGAATTATTAATGACAGTTTTCAAAATTCATTGAATTAATTGACTGTTTTATTGTTCAACAACCAATAATATTGATGATAGTTGTATAAAATGAATGTTTTTTTTCATTTGATTTCCAACTCCTCAGGTCCTTTCTGCTGCTGCAGCTGCTGGGGTGAGTGTTGCTTTTGGTGCACCAATTGGAGGCGTCATCTTCAGCTTGGAAGAAGTAAGCAGATTTTCTTTTTTCACAGTTTATTCTTTAATTATTTTTTGAGGAGGAAGGGCTTTTATGATTAATTTCCATTTTATTTATTACTATTTAAAAAAAACTCAAAATTTATATTAAAACAATTCAATTTGGGTGAATTTAAATTCAATTTAAGCAAAATAGTCATAATGTCAGAGTTAACTCCTCCTTAATTTCCTAATTATTCACTAGGACACGCTTTCCCTAGACTATAAATATTGGACAACTTCTTGCCTGGGTCTTGTTGGTTTTCTTTACATCCCTGGTTGGACTCAACTTGAGTCCACCATATTCTTGTAGTGGACCTTTTAATTCTATCAGAAGTTACACATGTGTTCCTAATTCAACAACATGTAAACCCTGCAGTCTGCTACAATAGTATATAGAGAAAACAAGGCCTTGGTTTAAACTAACAACAGAAGATATAGGCTAATTAAACTTAATGTGATTTCAGTATGTATATACATAAATTATTTTTTAAAGAGAAGAACTTTTAAGATTAATTTTTTTTATTACTATTAAAAATTTATATTAAAGAAAGTTCTATTTGGTTGTTGATGACAAATCAGTAATTAAACTTATGTTGGCAAATAATTAAAAAATAAAGATTTGTCAACATTAGTTTAAAAGCATAAAACTAAAAATTGTTTACAGTACCTGTTTTTCTAAAATGGTTGTTCATCACTAATCACTGATGGGTTTCAATATGGCTAAATATAATTTTTGAAAGTGAAAGTTTTTAATAAAATATATTAGAAAATTATCAAGTTTACATCTGAACTCAAAATATAAACTTTAAGCAAAACAGGCACAGTATATGGGAAAAAAAGAGCATCAATTTAAACTGAAAAGAGAAGATTTAGGTTAACTAAATTTGATGTGATTTCAGTATATATATATATATATATATATATATATATATATATATATATATATATAGAGGCACGGTGGAGTAATGGATAGCAGATTGGATTGAGAAATCAGAGAGCTGAGTTTGAATTCCAGTCGAATCCATTACATTCACTTACATGCTAATACCCTTAGGAAACGATCCTCTTCTTCTTCCCCCAGCTATGGGTAAATAGCAGGACAGACCGGGTTCTATAGCCTTGGATATGGCAGCTGATCTAGGAGAAGGACAACTCTAAATTCAGAACCTCCAGAGGGGCGTTTGGGGACATTGTGGCACGTGGTGCACCAGGTCTCTGTATTCGGCCCTTCAAAAAGTGTGGTTGGTTCTGCACAAAGCTTTCACCACTATAATCAAATCATATGTGCTGGTGTCTGGGCTGCCAGTTCCTAGGAACTGAGTTGCTTAACCCTCATACGACGAAAAACAATGGGAGAGTCCAGCATATATAAATATATATATATATATATAAGGTCAACATTGAGCAGTGACTGTCTGTTTCATGCTCGAATGCAATCTTTGGGCCATGTGTGTCATGTTTTGGCTCAACTATTATGCATTATGGGTAGCAAGGTCTATTGTATTGTCCTAACAGTGCTTTTAGGCTGGTGCTGTTGAGCCTACAACAATAAATCCAAAAAACTGTAAACCAATACACAATCCAACATTTCCAAGGGTACCTAATAACAGACATTAATTACTATGAACAACTTGACTGCTTTACTGCTACCCAACCAGTACTGCTAAAATATTGATGAGGTTTTTGTTATTTTTATTTTATTTCTTATATTAGGTTATATAGTTAATTTTAGGATATATGTTAATCTGCATGAGTTGCTCCCCTTGGACACTCTCCAAAAAAAAAAAAAAAAGAAAGCAATGGTGAACCAAACTTGGAGAGTTGAATTAAACAGAAATAACTGAGACATCCGGAAGAGGCATGGCACATGGAAGTAGAACAATCTACCCTGATGGATGAAATAAAAAGTTCAGTTTGAAATTCCAATCAGCCGAAACATTGTGAATATGGCAATGAAGATGAGGATAACTGTCTGAATAATGTAAATAATGCAATTAATCATAATACCTCATCTCATAGATATAAACAGGTAAAAAAGTAGCATTTTTGATTATTTGAGATATAGCAGTTTGATTTCATGATTCAAAGAATTTTTCTTAAATCTTAATTTTAGAAAATCTGTTTCTGTTTCCATTAAAATGTTTTAAGAGTTTGCATATTTAAGAAAATTTGTCTTTTGTTTAATGTTTCATATTTCAGCTGTCTAATATTTTGTGTTTATTTTATGCTTGTGACTTTTTCTATATGTCTTTTCTAATTTTCTTCAATTTTTAAAAAATTCTTTTCACCAGTTGAGTTATTATTTCCCACTGAAGACTTTATGGCGTTCGTTCTTCTGTGCTTTGATTGCTGCATTTGTTTTGCGTTCAATGAATCCATTTGGAAATGACCATTTGGTCATGTTTTATGTTAATTACAATGAACCTTGGTACCTACAAGAATTGATTGCATTCATCTTGATTGGTACCTTAGGGGTAAGTAAAAATTTTATTTTCTTTTTCTTTTTAATCACTTGTTAAAATATGTTGATGCTTTGTGCTGACAAAGAAGAAATGAATATATCATTGATTTTTTTTCTTTCAAAGGTATTCCTCAAACAAAACAATATTATCAGATTTGTGGCAGCAGAATATATATATATATATATATATATATATATATATATATATATAAGAAAGTATTTTTTATATGTATATCCCACACAGATAAAAAAAAATATAGGAGAAAAGAAGATGAATATGCAACTAGAGTCTTGAAGGATATTTATTTAGAGCAACTTTGCAGGTTTCAAAGTTGTATAATTTTCAAAAGCTGGAATGGAGAGAGATGTGATATTGCCATAATATATCTTGCATCTAACTGGAGTTGGAAAATTCTTTCAGTTTTATCCAAAACAAAGAATTCAGGTTCCATATGTTTAAAATACAATCTGATTGGTTGATTATGATCACGTGATCAGGCAAAGTCACTTTTGTGCCCAAAATTGATGATCATAAAATTTTGTTATCAAAAATCGGAAATGTCAGAGTTCAATGAGCATGGCTAATAATAACAAAGTGTTAAGTAGTTCAAGTGCCAGGAATTCTAGTTATTGGATCTTTTTAACTTTTGAAAATCATAGAACTGTGAAAAGTTCCTCTAAATAAATATTCTTAAAGATTCCAGTTACATTTCCAACTTCTTTTTCCTATATTTTTATCCATGTGGGATATATATATATATATATATATATATATATATATATAAAAAAACTAACTTTCTTGATAAAATATTTTGACTTCCAGATTGGGAGTCTATTCCTCAGGGCAGTGATTCATGGGAAGAAGCTGTTTGAGTGGAACTTACTTCTCACTATGGAGGGAATATGGGTGGTTTGCTACAATATAAGTAGTATAGCTGGTCCTATCCATGAAGATTAGACCTGGTGGAACTAAGGAATATAGTTTATCTGAGCACTTTCCATGGTAGTAGCAATAAAACATTTTGAGACTCATCACATCCCGCCTGTGAAAGTGAGGTTGGAGGGTGGAAAATAATTCTTCTCCAACAAGGTGTCTGAAATGCTTTTGAACTCTATCAAGACTGGAAAGTGAGGTCTGGGCAGCTCCTGCCCAAATATGGCAGTAGTACTCCATTTTCAGCCTGATCTGTCTCTTATAAAGGCAGAGGATAGCATGAGGAGTCAGGTACTTACTGGAGCGTTACAGGGAGATGATCATTCTACTTTAGCGATGGATTGTATATAGGAATTCCACTTGAGGTCAGGTGTGAGTTTGAGGCCCAATATTCTCTCAAGGCACCTAACCGCCTTGAGGGGACATCCATTCATTGTGACTGGTGGTAGTTCTGAGTCTGATCAGGGGTGATGGAATGTAACTAGTTTAGTTTTTGACACATTGAATATAACCAATACTGGATTATCTTTTATTTCAAATTTAAATATGTTTAAGCGTAAACACTTTTAAATATGTTTAAGCGTAAACACTTTTAAATATGTTTAAGCATAAACACTTTTAAAGGAATTTGAACAAAAAATGCGAAAATTATTCACAAAGAAACAGAATACTCCATTTCTCTAAATCATTGTTGTATTATTCTAGTTTAATTTTCTGATTATTTTTAGGGCTTATATGGTGCATTCTTTATAAGAGTCAATATTTGGTGGTGTAAATACAGGAAAAGTTCTAACATTGGCCAGTATCCTGTTGGTGAGGTGAGTAGAACACTTTAATTTACTGTGTATTTTTCCAATAAAAATTTGCAAATACAAAAAAAAATAAAATATAGCAATAAATATTTAAAATGAAATTTTTTTCTAGGCACTTAAGATATTTTCTTTATCAGGTCAAATCAGTATTTCTTTTAATCAGTATCACCTCATGCAAGGCAGTAAAGCCACTAAGACACAAGGAGTTACAGGATATGGAAGAATTAGAAACAGAAACATTAATAATGAGTTGGAAGAGTAATTAAGAGGACAATAGATAACGATTGACATTGCATTTAAATTTTTGCAGATTAAAGTTGGCTGAAAAGCATAGAACTGGAAGGGAGTTCCACAAGCAAGAAAAGAAATTGTTAGCATCTAATTTATGGTTACATCTAGCCAGTCCAACTGGAAATTATCAAGTACTGCACTTAAATTCAAAAAATCTTGGTACCATAGCAAAGAGTTCATCTGAACAATTATCATGAAAGTATTTATAGAAAATTTATGAAAGTGAAAATATATACAAAGGTCACTCTGCCTTCTATATTGACCCACGACATGAGAAGCAGTTTTTGGTGGTATGGCAGTAGAAGCTGAACTTTCCTGTCAATAATCCTTGTGGCCTTGTTTCAGATAACAGCTGATTGCCTGTCTGGCAAAATGACATCTGACATGAAAGGGCATAGAAAGCAGAAGTGTATCGTTGAATTCCTCTATGCAGAAACAGTTGTACCCATTGACATTCATCATCAACATTGACTGCTTCCAGAAACCAAACAATGTATGTGAGCATAGGTAGTGAAAATTTTATTCAGCAGTGGCAACAGCAATGTGTGTGAAAAAGTTACATGCTTCCACTGGCATACAGGTTCTTGTTCATCACTGGCAAAAATGAATAACCAATAAATAGTTTTTTAATTGAAAACTTGCTCTATCCAACAGTGTTATTGTGCTCCTATTATAAATTCTGTGGAAATTCATAGATGCATTACTTTTGGAGCAAAATGGCATAGATATTTCCTAGGTATGTTTTAGACTGCAAAACTACATTTTTAAATCATTTGTTGGTGGTCAAGTAGTCTATTTAGGTTTTGATATCTCCTGAGCTTTCCCAATGTCTACAGGCATCTTTGGTATTCTTTAAATCAAGTGTTGGTTATTGCCTGGCCATTTGCTGTGTACCACTGAATCCCTTTTTCACAGCACTCATTGTGTGACCCAAATCTACTTTTACCAACAATTTCACTATCTTGTTCCTTTAGAGCTCTTGAATAATTTCTGGTGACATGCTCTGAGATTTGGCATTTACTTGAATGTCATATTTCTTCTTCAAGGTTTTCTGATATGGATGCATATACAACTACTGATTACCACATCGAATGAATAACTTTTCAGTTGCATCAGAAGAACTCTAAAAATTGCCAGTACATATCAATCCCCTCTTTATTTAATACTAGCTTAAAGGCTGCACTCTATGTGGAGTATTGAGCTAGCTCCTGTGTAGGGCTAATTGGGCCTCTGGCCCAAAACTAAAGGAACCTTTGGCTCAGCTTAGAAAACAGCAATGATAATTTTGAAGAAATAACCTTGAATTCCTCAATTCACTCCATGGAACTTCAAAACCTCACTTTAACTCTGATTCAGGCTATAAATCCAATTCTAGCCAAAAGACTGATTTGGGCAGAAATTCCAATTCAGGTTGAAAATTGAGTTCTTCAAATCACAAACTCCATGAAACTTCAATTGAGTTGAGTTCTTCAAACCAGAAACTCTGCAGAACTTTCAAATTCTCACATCACGAAATGTCTCACATTAACTTTGATTCCTTAGTATTGTCCTCAATTCACAAAGTTTTGGAGATATTTTAAACTGAATTTAAAACAAAAAATTTTTAATTCACAAAGTTTTTTTTATTACTTTAAACTCAATATAAATTAAAAAAATTTTAAAATCACTAATTTTTTTCAGTTATTTTAAAATTTGAATTTTTAACTGTTCCCTCCTCATCCGGACACAAATCCTAATGCTAGATGTTCAAGCACCAGATCAAGGGCAGATTTTCAATCCTGGGATCATCCTGATTCCAAAAAAGGAGAATATATCTATTATGTAGAGCAAGTGTGGCCCAATTTAGAGGGGTTTCAGACACACAAACGGACAGACAGAATTTGCTATTTATTTATTTAAATTCGTCAAATTTATTTAGATTAGTCAAACTCCTATCTTGCTTTGTTAGCAGCAAATGTTTTTCCTACTAAATTTGCCTTCATTTATATCACTACAGGTTTAATTTTTTAAAATTACTCTCAATAAGTGAGGGTTTGGCATATCATTTGCACTTTTCTTCTATGTGCCTGGTCTTCCAATACATTGGCAATCACATTATCTCTCCTAAACCCCGTTCTTGCAAACATTTACTCAAAATCACTGAGTAGGTCATGTGTTATTTTCCTCTGTCCTTCTTGTTTCAATATGTTCTGTGGGTGTCAAATTTTCTAAGACTTTTTCCTCGTTATGTGCCCTAAAAATTTCAACTCTCTCTTCTTGATGTTAAGTATAAGTGTCCTTTTTGTTTCCATTTCATCTAAAATTTTGTCATTGCTCACATTAATTCTCAACATCCTTCTGTAGAACCCCATTTCTGTTGCTTCAAGTCTCTTCTTCATCTGTGAGGAAATCCATTAGAGAAATATAAAACTATCAAAATGTAATAATTGTCAGTTTAAAAGAAATTTCAAATATTTTTATATTTTGATAATAGCGTAAATTTCCTTGTAAAATCTTTTAAAAAAATCTATAGGTTGGAAAGTTACGTGATCACTTTTTTTTCTATATGAATAAATGTGAAATTGGATCTCAATTCTGCCACAGAATTAAAAGGGTTAAAAAGGCCCAACTCTACTTTATAGTAAATTACATGGTATTAACTCCTACCCCCCACTTGGATGAGATGTGACACAAGGTTTTTTTTAGGTGGGGACCCAGGCACGTACACTCAGGACAAGGACAAAAATTGCCCTCAGCCCCTGTAACCGTTGGTTGCGTTGGCCTCGGTGCAAGTACTGATCTCTTCCTCTTGTGCAATGGGAGGGCGCTGCCTCGGGCAGCTGTTCCCCAGGGCTGGGCACCTCTCAGTATAATTTTCCTCAGTTGCCCCTCTGTCCTTTGACAGAGAAACCCCTGAGCGCACTCTCTCCAAAGACAGAAACGCAACTGAGAGATGATAAGTAGACGTGAAATTACTCAAAAAGAGTAAGTTACACAACAAGTAAATTACATGGTGTTTACTCATTCCCCCATGTGGATGAGATGTGACACAAGGTCTTTTTAAAGTGGGGACCCAAGCACATACACCCAGGGAAGGGACAAAAATTGCCCTCAGTCCCACAACTGTCAGTTGCACTGGCTTTGATGCAAGCACTGATCCCTCCCTCTGGTGCAATGGTAGGGCACGACCTCAGGCAGCTGTTCCCCAGGGCTGGGCACCTCTCGGTATAATCTTCCTCAGTTGCAACTCTGTCCTTTGACAGAGTTGCCCTTTAGTGCACTCTGTCCAAAGACCGAGACACAACAGAGAGATGATAAGTAGACGTGAAATTTTACACAAGTAAATTACACAGTGTTTACTCATTCCCCCATGAGAATGAGATGTGACACAAGATCAGTTTAATGTTGGGGACCCAAGCGCATACACTCGGGAAGAGACAAAAATTCCCTCAGCCCCCCCAAGAACTGTCGGTTGTGCTGGCCTCAGTGTGAACACCAATCTCTCTTGTGCAATGGGAGGGCACGGCCTTGAGCAGCTGTTCCCCGGGGCTGGGCACCTCTCAGTATAATTTTCCTTAGTTGCGACTCTGTCTTTTGACGGAGTTGCCCTTGAGTGCACTCTGCCCAAAGACCGAGACACAACTGAGAGATGATAAGTAGACGTGAAATTTTACACAAGTAAATTACACAGTGTTTACTCATTCCCCCATGAGAATGAGATGTGACACAAGATCAGTTTAATGTTGGGGACCCAAGCGCATACACTCGGGAAGAGACAAAAATTCCCCTCAGCCCCCGCAACCGTCGGTTGTGCTGGCCTCAGTGTGAACACCAATCTCTCTTGTGCAATGGGAGGGCACGGCCTTGAGCAGCTGTTCCCCGGGGCTGGGCACCTCTCAGTATAATTTTCCTCAGTTGCGACTCTGTCCTTTGACGGAGTTGCCCTTGAGTGCACTCTGCCCAAAGACCGAGACACAACTGAGAGATGATAAGTAGACGTGAAATTTTACACAAGTAAATTACATAACAAAGCTAAGTATCTGTATTATATATTATTGACTTCTAGGCAATATCAGTTTTCAGGTTTAATTAATTTGCATATTAATTTTAAAAAAGTATATTTCATTAATTAACTGTCCTTCATTAGTGTTCTTTTATTCAAGGATTGTTTTGATTTTTATATCAAAAATAGTTCTGTTTAGGAATTTATATTTGAAATTTGCATTTTACTTGGCCTTCAACAAGTTGGCATCTAACTATAACAAGCCTGCCCCTACATATGACTAATTAATATCTTCTGTCTTAACAATCATATTCTTTTAACAAATATATTAAATGTCCACAACCCCTTCAACATTTCATAGTTAACATTAATCTCATAGAAAAACAACCAGGTTATGTTTTTCATTCATGCAAATACATGTATTTTATTTCTGCCAACACCTGTTAAATGTTATTCCATTTCACCATGTTTCATTTGTTTAAAAACGGCTAAAATTCTAATGTTTAGTTATCTGAATAAATATAAATGTTTTCTTTCATGTTTACAACCAATTTAGGAATGAAATGTTCATTTAAATTTTTTGTTTCAAAAATTTCAAGTAGTGAATATATCTTTGCAAAGCAATAGCGAGCAGGTAAAACCTTCTAGTATTTTATAAATTTATAATAATTCTTTTCTAACATCACCATTATTTATTTTTCAGGTTCTTGTTATCACGTTCATTACAGCGCTTGTTAATTTTCCAAATTATTATACCAGGTAACGAACATTTCAAAATTTTGTTCATTTTTTTTTTTTTTCTCATTTTACTCTAAAAGTGCTTCAAGGTGGATATTTAAGTCACCATTAAATGCTGAGTACTTTCTGGCAACATTAAAAGGGAAATAACCAGTAAGCATCATGTATTAATATTTATTTGCAAAATACATTCATTAATTGATTCATTCTCTATGGCTTATCAACTTGTCGGAGTTAGCTCCTGTGGGGAAAATTGTGAAAATGGCCTACCTCGGAAACGCGTTCGAATCTGCGCAGTATGTAAACACTGGTCCTTCCAACTGTAAAAAAGAAAACCAAAATGGCGGCGCCCGCGTTTTATGCCGAGTAGTCTCGGTCAGTTAACGTGAAATCTCGTTGCCTCGTGATTCGCATGCAAATCGTGGTCGGTCCGCAGCTGTATAAAGCAGGCTCGTTTCTGCTGTTTCAAAAAAAAAAAGGCTTTCGGCTCGTGAGAAGGTTGGACGTGCGACCCGGTTTTCTTTGTACCTACCTGCTATCACCAGTTGAATTGTTGAGTTACACACTTCAAGCTATTTCGGCAATGGACAAGTTCGATCTAAAGTTGATCCCAGAATTCGACGGCTCCCCCACGGGCCCGACTATCGTTGAATGGTTTGAAAAGGCCGAACGTGTTTTAAGGGTGTCCAAAATAAAGGAACCTGCACTAGTCATCCCACTGAGACTCACGGGAGGAGCCTACGCAGTATATCAACAACTCGGGGACGATGCTGACCTAGAAGAGATCAAGGACGCCCTGTATACGGCCTTTGGAATAGATCCATTCATCGCTTGGAAACAGTTCGTCGGACGACGGCTCGAGCCGGGTGAGACCGTGGATGTTTACCTGGCTGATTTGCGAAGGCTGGCAGTACCGTTTGGCGGAGCAACGGACCGCATACTGGGGTGCGCCTTCCTGGCAGGGCTTCCAGACGACACCAGTCGGCTCCTGCGAGCGTCTTCAAGATTGGACACACTGGGAATTGACGAATTGCTAGCCAGGGCCCGAAACATCTTGAAGGACACGGAACAGATCGCGGCAGCCATGAGAACGCCTGAGACACCAAAGTGCTACAAGTGCGGTGGACCCAACCATTTCTCTAGGGACTGCCGGAGCCGAAGTGACGTAGGAGGGAGCGGCAGGCGGAACCGTGCACGACTACGCTGCTATCGCTGCAAAGAGTTAGGCCATGTAGCACAGGATTGCTCGGGAATGAGTCCGGGGACAAGGTGCTGTCGCAACCCTTGCCCCTCTCGGTCAGTAAATGCGGCATTGCCTGTTATCAACGTGTACGTTGAGGGTAAACGATGTTCGGCGCTCGTTGACACTGGATGTTCCCGATCGATCGTTAGCGCGGATCGATGCGTGACATGGAACAGTCAACAAATCGAGATTCGGACGATTGACGGGGTGTCCTGGGCCTGTTGTGGTGTCGGGACTGTGTCAGTCCTAACAGACGGAGGGAGTCATGCCAAAGTCGACGTCTTGGTGGCACGTCAAAGGCCCCTCGGGTACGACCTGCTACTTGGGATTGATGCGATCCGAGCGTTAGGAGGCATGATGATCACGCCAGCCGGAAATGTGGAACTGGGTGAAAGAAGAAAGGTGTGTGCAGCCCTTTGCGTTAGTGAGCCGGATTTCGACGTCTCCTTCAATTCCGACGAGAGAGTGTGGACCGCCAGGTGGAAATGGGCCCAAAAAGACCCGCCAGTTCAGCTTCGCAACAAGGTCGCTGAGTACAAAGTTCCAGACAGCATCAGAGGAAAATACGAGAAAGAGCTTCAGCAGTGGATTGTGAACGGCTGGCTGATTCCATACCCCCAGGAAAGACTGGGACCCCCAAAGGGTCTGATTCCCTTGATGGCAGTCGTGCAGGAGCAGAAACAGAAGGTGCGTCCGGTACTCGATTACCGCGAATTGAACGACTTTGTGGATGCTTTCACTGCCGATGCAGAAGTGTGCGCACATAAGTTGAGAACGTGGCGGCGGCAGGGAGTCAATGTGTCGCTTCTGGATCTGCGGAACGCATATCTTCAGATTCACATCGACGAAGCGCTGTGGCCATTTCAAACGGTTATTTTCAAAGGCCAACGCTTCTGTCTTACGCGGCTAGGGATTTGGGCTAAATGTAGCGCCACTCATCATGAAATCCGTTATAGACGCCATCGCATCGCAAGACCGCACAATTGAAAGTGCCACATCAGCATACGTTGATGATATCTTCATTAATGAAAGTTTGGCCTCTGCATCGCGTGTAAGACAACACTTTTCGGATTACGGTTTGGTGTGCAAGGATCCGGTGCGACTGAGAGATGGAGCAAGAGTTCTTGGCTTGCAGGTCTGGGAAGAAAATGGCACCCTCCGATGGAAACGAGGAAGTCAAATTCCGGAAGCCCCTGATGTGTTGACCCGGCGGCGCGTATTTTCGTTGTGTGGGAAACTTGTTGGACACTTCCCAGTGTGTGGATGGCTCAGGGTGGCAGTTGCATTCGTCAAGCGCCTGGCAACCGCAGCAACCAATGGATGGGATGATAACATCAAAGATCCCTCTCTCTGTCGCATACTAGCAGAGATGTTAAGTAGAGTGCGGGAACTGGATCCCGTCGGAGGAGACTGGTGCATGAGTGGTGACGAGATCACAGTCTGGGTGGATGCGAGTTCCGTGGCGACAGGAGTGGCATTGAAGTAAACGAAAATGTCATCGAAGATGCGTGCTGGCTGCGTCCGACTAATGATGCCAGGCACATTAATTTGGCTGAACTCGATGCGGCGCTTAAAGGAGTGAATCTGGCTCTCCAGTGGGAGGCGACAACGTTGCGCTTGGTCACTGATTCGGCGTGTGTGCACCGGTGGATTTCAGACACCTTGACCGGGAAGGCACGGGTGAACACAAGGGCGGCTGGTGAGATGCTGGTCAGGCGACGGCTGGGCATTTTGCGATCGTTGGTGGACGAATATGGATTGACCGTAGACGTGACACTTGTGCAGTCCTGTCAGAACCGTGCAGATCGCCTCACCAGAGTACCGCACAGGTGGCTAGAACTGCTCAAGAGAGGAGAACCGGCACTCGAGAGCTGTGCAGTGGCAGGGAGACGACTGGATGAGGACCAGGTTGCCAATACGCATCGTCAATGCGGACATCCGGGCGTGAAACGAACCCTGTACTTCGCCAGGTTAGTCGACCCGCAGGTGTCCAGAGAAAGCGTTAAATCCGTTGTGAAGGCCTGCACAACCTGTCAGTCGATCGATCCGGCACCCGTTCACTGGGAAAGAGGAGAACTGAGCGTGAAGAGCAACTGGAGCAGACTGGCAATGGACATAACTCACTACAATGGTGAGAATTTTTTAACACTCATTGATTGCGGTCCCTCCAGGTTCGCGGTATGGCGGCCGCTGCGCAGACAAGACGCGAGCACCGTCATTCGACTGTTGGAGAATGTTTTCCTGGAGCGAGGCCCACCCATGGAAATACTGACGGATAACGATACTGCGTTCACCAGTAAAGATTTTAAAGAATTTGCGGACACTTGGGACGTGCATCTGCGGTTTCGATGTGCCTACTCGCCAAGTGGAAACGGCATCGTGGAGCGGAACCACAGAACCATCAAGATCATCGCAGCCAGGAAGGGCTGCACAGTTTCGGAAGCGGTTTACTGGTATAATGTCGCCCCGAAGGATAACATTTCACCATCCACGGCGCCGGCTGATGCACTGCACAAATATCATGTCCGCGTGAGGGGCATCGAAGCCAACCCGCTGCCTGAACTAGAAGTGACTGGAGGGAGATTGAAAAAGGAGACATCGTTTGGGTCAAAAACCCACGCGGCAAGTGTACGACAAAGTACGGCACTGGACGTGTTACGGAGGTTATCAGCCCGCAATCTGTGAGAGTTGATGGGGTGCCTCGTCACATTAAAGACTTGCGACCGGTGACGCAATCACTACCGCTACCGAGCGATGAAAGCGATTCCGAGTCTGGGAGTAGTGAGCGTTCAATCTGCCTTTGAGTTAGACCTGCAGGGCAGCGATTCTGATAACAGCAGCCTCCCGGCGGACACAGTGTTTACCGACACTCAAACCACAGACGAGAACACGCACGAGGATGAAGCTTGTTTATCCCCTTCGGAGAGGGACTCGACGGCGACGATCGCCACCTCCCTGCCCTGTTTGTGATCATGAGATCAGGGGGGAGTGTGGGGAAAATTGTGAAAATGGCCTACCTCGGAAACGCGTTCGAATCTGCGCAGTATGTAAACACTGGTCCTTCCAACTGTAAAAAAGAAAACCAAAATGGCGGCGCCCGCGTTTTATGCCGAGTAGTCTCGGTCAGTTAACGTGAAATCTCGTTGCCTCGTGATTCGCATGCAAATCGTGGTCGGTCCGCAGCTGTATAAAGCAGGCTCGTTTCTGCTGTTTCAAAAAAAAGGCTTTCGGCTCGTGAGAAGGTTGGACGTGCGACCCGGTTTTCTTTGTACCTACCTGCTATCACCAGTTGAATTGTTGAGTTACACACTTCAGCTCCTCCTTAATTCCCTAATTGTTCACTAGGGATCGCTATCCCTACATTATAAATACAGAGCAACTTTTTGCCTCGTTCTCATTTTCACTTTGCATTTCAGCGAACACATTTGAAAATGTGATCTATCTTAGAGATCCGTGTCTTCCCATTTATAGGAAATGCCATGAACATTATACACACATACACGTACATACGAACATTCACCAACATACAAACTCTTTATGTTCACACACAAGCACAAATGTTAATGCCTTTGTCACTTGTAAATTTGTTGTTTAATACATATATTTATTGACATATATATTTCGGTCTCGTTTATTTTCTTTACATCTTCAGTTGGACTCAATTTGAGTCTGCCATTTTCTTGTAGTTGGACCTTCCTCTAGCAGGAATAAACAGCATGTGTTCCTAATCTAACAACACTCAAATGCACACAGTCCTCTACAAACTCTTTGCAAGTCATCCACAGCCAGAAAACAATTCCAGATTTTAAGAATTTTTTTTTTGTAGGGAAGATAATAATGGTTTAGTGATACAAGTCTTGCTAATTTGCCCATAGCTGGGAGGAGAAGTGTATCCATACCTTTCCCAAGAGTATTTGTGCCACTTCACCTCCCTAGCTATGGGTTAATTAGTAAGACTTCCATCACTATACTATTATTATCTCAGAAAATTTCTTATCTAAAAACATTTTCTAGCTTTAAATAACTTTGAAAGCATTAATAATCTGTGGGAAATGAGCGAATCAATCTCATTAGCTTTGCTTATCAGATATAAAAGATGGAGTAATTCATCAAAACAGGCAGCAGTTCTTACTGTAGATATAAAAAATCTACTCATTGTGAATGGAATGGTTGTAATATTACAAAACTGTCTGCTCATGCATGCACAGTAAGGTCTCTTTTGATTGGTTGCAAAGTTACATCAACCAGTTCACTAAGTATTCAAAATGGCTGGATGTGCTCTGAACTGACCTTGTACATCTGTTGTAACCTAGAAAGGATTACTGAATGAGGAATAACCAAAATGGAGGTTGGAAATGAAATGGTAATCTTTATAACTTCAACAAAATAAAATACAGTGAAGTAATGGTGAACTACTTAGACAGCATATTACCCCCTCCCATGTATCCAACATATTTATGAGGATTGGGACATACCCATTAGTGTTCATAGGTACGGTATATAACAATCTAAAGATTCAAAATATCTCTAAAAACAAAAAGAAGCATTTTGATGAATATAGTTATCCCAAATGAGTGTGTAGAATATTACATATTCTACAAATTTGTTCTTATTTAAAATATTTATTGCCTTTTATTTTTACAGAATTGGTTCTAGTCAATTAATCCGTCTGCTCGTTAATCGCTGTGGACCAGAGGATTACCATGGATTATGGTATGCAAAGCAATTTCTTTTGTGATTTCTAACTTTTTTTTAATTAATATTTGTTGCAGAAATGTGGATTTTTTGATAATGTTAGGACAGAATGTCTGCTATTATTGAAATGTTTTCTTATTTTTTTCACTTGGTTGGTTTTAACTAACAAATTTCTACCAGAAAGGAGGTTACCAATGTAGACATACTTCGAGCTTTTTGAAAAAATGAAAACTATAACAATCTGTTGATTGAAAACAGCTATAATAAAAATAACAAGCTTATTGTTGCTATAAACATGTGTATGGTAGCACAAGAGAATAAATGAAACAACAATTACCACCAGGTGGGGTGAAAAGAAAAGAAGACAAGAATTCTTAATATAAAATTCTTTGTATTGTTATTAGAGAGGATGTGAATGGAATGTCTCTTTGTGGGCATGGGAAGCTACTTGGAGGAAGGGTAAAGTTGGTGTGGCCTGTTGTTGATGCATATGTCATGTTGGTTGACTGAGCTTACGGAGGTGACATTGAGAAAAGCCAATAGCGGATTAGCTGAAGCTTGCCCATTCACTATAAATCTAAGTCAGTTGTTTGAGTGGTGTTCTTAAAAAGCAAATGTGCTGGTTCATAAACTCATCTTTTTTTCATATTTTTTTTCTTTGGTGTCAAAATTCATAATTAGCTTCTTTTAAATTGTATTTTTATATTCTTTGAGAGGATTTGTTTTGTGGACTGCACGTGATGTTCAGAGCCCCTGCACAGTGAACAACTTTTTTATTTCCTAGTGTTCACATTCAGCCACATGTAGAGTGACTCAGAAAGAGATCTGATTTGAAGCAAAATATAACATTGTCATTATCTAAATGAACAGTTTGTCTTTGGCTGAATCATTGTAATACTATAGATTATTAAGGTTTATGCCTGAAACTCACCTGAAAGGATTTACTAATGACCATAGATATTTGTAAGTCACTTATAGAAATGACTTGAGTCCTTTTTTATAATGTTAAAGTGGATCCAAAAAGAAGCTAGGCACAGTAAAAGCTGATTGGGTAGAAAATAAATTCTGCACAAACTGTGATCACATCCAAGGTCAGCGGTATGTGAATACACCGGCATTCACTATGTTCCACATATTCATCTTGATTATGGCCATGAATGCAGTCAACAAATAATGAGAAATGCTTTTCAAGACATTTGTTGGGTCAGGAAGTAGCAAAAAAAAATATGATTTTTCACTTAATCAGCAATTTTTTTCTTTCTGCTGTGTGAAAGCAAATTTCTTCTATCTGACTTCTCACTAAGTTCCAGCCACGGAAAACAGAACCCTAGACACTCACTGCCTGACCTTTTCACTGATTGCTCCATTATATGGATACTGGCTGGCAGACCCACCACCCATTTCCATCCACTTGTGTTCCACCAAACAGAAATGGGACCACCCAGACAGGTTTTGGTTTGTCAGTCTTTCAAAGGACATTATTTTTATGGCTATCCAAAACACTAACAAAACTTTGTTTGACGATTCAAAGGTGGGCTGGAGACATGTTTCCTGAAAAATTCTTGTCATTAAAAGGAAAAAGAATTTATCTATTCATCTCCTAAGGATGTATAAGAAATCGTATAGCATGTTATGATCAGCTTAAATGCTTTTGGGATTGTCAGTTGACTTCAAACCTAAAGTTCCATTTAAATCTATCCTTTATCTTCAATAATATATTTGACATTTTGCTTTTCCATTTTCCACTGAGCCAGCAGTTTTTCATTTTCACTCTCTATGAACCTCTGGGAGGCACGATGGAGTAATGGATAACAGATCAGATCAGAGAGCCCAGTTCAAATTCCATTTGGATCCATTACATTCCCTTACATGCTAATACCCATAGGAAAGATATGAATCTTCTTCTTCTCCCCGCATCTATGGGTAAATAGCAGGATAAACTGGGTTCTATAGCCTTGAATGGCAACTGGTCTAGATAAAGGAAAACTCTGTATTCAAACCAGCCTAGAGAAGGTTGGGCTCCATCAGACTATCTTGCCTAATAAACACCAATTCTACTGCATCAGCAGTATGTGTGGTGCTCAGACTCCCTTCTTGTTAGTTAATCTACTTAGGGAGTTAAAAAAAACTATGGATATGCAGATAGTGCAATGGTTAGCACCATGGAATAAAAAATCGGCAGGGTAAGTTCAAATTCTGGCAGTGTTCACTTTGTGGTGAACTTCTACCACATTTATATAATTTTGATTAGGAAACCAAACTGATGTGAAGAAAGGGACAAGACAAAGGTATCAATATATATAAAAATTGTATTCAACAATGCATACAATAAAGAATGTGTACAAAAAAGCATGCAATGAGTAAGACAAGAGTTGTCTCTCTTTGACTATCAAAGTCTATTAAAGTTCTCTGAAAGAAAAAAAAGAGTTATTAGTGATTTATAAATGTTTTTAAACAGTTCTGCCATGCAAGAGGAAAAAATTATATAAGTGTGAAAGAATATGCAGTTTGTGAGTTGAGTGAGAAGATGGGTGCATAGCTTCAACTGTCGTGGATTTCTGTGGCAGCTAAAGTCTCACTGGTACATCTCTTTTCTTTTGCTTTTATAGGTGGTCATTGGATGAGGAGTGCTGCGCGGGAAGAATCATTCTCCACATGCAGAGAATCTGATTGGTCGATACTGAACAATCAGTGCATGAGCTTTGTAGAGACTTCTGGGAGCCAATTCTCCTAAAAGTGCACAAAATCTACTATATGAAAACATGGCGATTTTAAAATTGTTGCATAAGATAGCAGCATTGCTTCCTGTCCAATGAATGAATGCTGTTGAAAATTTGAATTTGTAAGGGTGTATGTGTATGTGATGATGATCGCTATAACTTTGGACATGGGGCTTGCAGATCTATCCCATATGTTAAGAGTTGCGATCATATACTCCTCAGTGGAGTCTATGGGACAAGCGAGTAAAAGTGAGCTTAAGGTTATCAATAAAAGACAAGTTCTCAAAATATCATGTCCATTATTTAGAATTTCTGTAGTTTAAGAATGGCAAGAAATCAAAATAGGAATTAAGAAAACTCATCTCAGCTGCTAACTCAAATCAGATCATGAATTTTAAATAGGATTTCCAAAGATCATCTCTTATGAGTTCCATAAATGTGTTTGTTTTCTTTTATTGCAGTGATTACAACCGAAACATTACTAATGTGAATGTCTATGGAGGAAGTGCTGTTTCAGGGAATGGCGTCACTCAGGCAATATGGCAACTTGTTTTAGCTTTCCTTTGCAAAGGCATCTTGACTGTTTTTACATTTGGGGTAAAGGTAAGCAATCACCAATGACTTATTATATAGACTTACTGAGGTTTCATATTGATAGATATCATTAGAGATGAAGTGGCAACAAGTCTCTTTATACACCCACATTCTCTTCAGTATTCTAGCTGATTATTATTATTACAGTAGAATTACTGACAACCAAACTATGAAGGCCTTCCGGATATGTGGGGTTATATTTAGATTAAAAGAAATCAAATCAGGTTTAACATTTATAGTAAACAAAATAAGCTAATAGTGAGTAAAATATAATGGAACTGATTTTAAGGAAAAAGAAATAAATTATGTAATGTTAATGAAAATTCATTAAATTAAGTATGCCACGTATGCAAAACAATGTAATGAGGATTTTTTAATCGCTGTTGCATGATGATTCTTTTTCTTCTAATGTCATTCTCAACTTTTTCTGCATTTTGTTTTGCTTTTGTTCTTGAAATTTTTTAGACGAAAGACACTTTTTAACTTTGCATGCCTTATTGCAATCGTCATAGCTGAATGCTGGATTTTTTTCTATAAAACTGACAACCTTTGCAATAGCTTTTTCAATTTCAGTTCAGGTTTCATCACAATCATGCATCTCGTCGCTATCTTGTTGCAGATGTGTCTCGTTGTCATCCTTTCCTCTTATTCCCATCATCTTTGCACCAATACAAGCCATTAGGGTGAAATAAGTATAAGCAATTGTCCAAAGTAAATTTCCTGAAAAACAGAAATTTCAAATCAGTTACATATCATCCAAATAGTTCAAATATACATATCAAAATCATGTCCAGATATGCAAGATTTTGGATACGAGGGATTCTACGGTATTATTATTATTATTATTATTAGTTTTGTTTATTAGTTGCCATTTGATAAAATCCTTTATCAAGTTTTTTTTTGTTTTTGTTTTTTTACCTGAGACCAAGTGTAAAGGAATCTAACATTGAAACACTGATTCTTGTACAATCACCAAAGTTAAGCAAATTCAAGTACCTTGATGAGTGTCTACTCTGGAATACCAGGTGCTGTAAGCTTGGATGTTTGGATGGTTTAATGGATAATGGCTCAGAATTGTTAACTGGAGAGTCAAGTTCCAGTTCCAGTTCCAGTTGGGTTCATTATATTCATTTATGCACAAATACCCTTGGGGAAGGCATGAATTCACCGCTTCTCCCCCAGCTATTGGTTAATTAGTAAGACATGTATCACTAAATCCTTATTATCTCAAAAAAAACTTTCTAAGAATCTAAAAAATTTTTTTTCTGGCTTTGGATAACCTGCAAAGGATTGATAATCCATAAAAATGAATGAATGAATGAATGAAGGGAGCTAAAAGTTATTTAGTGAGAGAGTTTTTTCTGAGTAAGTAAGCATTACTCATAATCACATTCTTTTGTATCTTGGGCAGTGAAGCATTTCTGAAGATTTTCTTAATGTGTATATAAAAATTATTTTTAATTCTTCCTAGTGCTTTTAGTATTATTATTATTATTATTATTTTTCCTCCTCCTCTTCCTAGTGTTTTTATTATTATTATTATTATTATTCCTCCTCCTCTTCCTAGTGTTTTTATTATTATTATTATTATTATTCCTCCTCCTCTTCCTAGTGGTTCTATTATTATTTGAATTGTGTTTAAATGCTATGTATTTTAATTTCTATTTCCACTTTGCCACATGCTTTTGCTTAGGTATTTTTATAAGATGGAATAATGTGTATTAGATAACACTTACTGACTTTTGAAGTCTTTTATTACTATTATTATATCTAGTCTCTTGGCTTGTATAGTGTGGTCAGTTTGTATGATGAAGTCTCAGAGCACATTAAAAGTTTCACCTTCTGGCACTGGAGAGGGACTCATTGCACTTTCTAGCACTGGAGAGGGACTCATTGCACTTTCTAGCACTGGAGAGAGACTCATTACACTTTCTAGCACTGGAGAGGGACTCATTGCACTTTCTAGAACTGGAGAGGGGCTCATTGCCCTTTCTAGCACTGGAGAGGGACTCATTGTACCTTCTCAGGCTAACGTTTCCCACTGACATTAATTGGAAAGATTATATTGAATCAATCGCTAGGTCTGCTGCTAAGAAAGTTCATTCACTGTTTCGTGCTAGACAATTTTTCTCACCAGTATCTATATTGCATATGTCTACCATTAAATTTAGTCTACCATTCATGCATTGAATATTGCTGTTGTATCTGGTCTGGTGCTTCTGCTATATATTTAGAGTTTCTAGATAAAATACTGCAATGTTATTGGTCCTAACCTGGCATCTCAGCTTCAGTCATTTTTTTTCCATTCTCATTTGTGGAAGTCTTTTCAGACTTTTTGCTTCCCAGTCAACTTCAGTCTTCAAAAATTTAAATGCAATGACAATCGCTATCTTCTGTTTTTTAATTCCTATTCTTTTATTGTCTTCTCTCTTTAATAGTAGTTTTTCTCATATTCTATAACACTCAGTAACCCCTTGCATTCTAGTGACTTTATTGTCTTTAATCATCAAAAGTTTAAATACAAGGTGAATCATCTTCTATATTCTTGTTCTTTTATTGTTCACTCTCCTTAATAGTAGTTTTTCTCATATTCTCTAACACTTAGTAACCTCTTGCATCTTAGTGGCTTTATTGCATCGCTTGGGGTGACTTGTGGTGATACTATTTTTCTGTATGAGAAAAGTTATAATGTTAAAATATATTCTTGTTGGCAGGATTTGATATCTTGAGTTGTTTGTATCTCCTTTCTGTTTCTGGTTTTAACCCAAAGCTCCACAACCACAGATGGGTCAGAGTTTCTTTTTAACATCAGGATTTTTGGTCTACAATGTGTATTGGCCATGTTTTTTTAGATTAATTAGGCCTTCAGTTTTTACTTTTTTGTTTTTGACCACCACCTTCGATATATTTACTTCCTATATCATCTTGTTTATATATTTGTAGGTCTTCTTTGAACTTTTGGTGTTCTTTGATAAATGAATTTAGCTTTTTATCACATTCCTGCTGGTATTGCAATTTATCACATTGAGGGTGAATATAACAGCAGGTATTGCTAAAGTGTTTATAGCTTCAATATTTTTTTTTTCTTTTCAAAGTAATTCAGTTTTATTTATTACCTTATTCATCTTCTTTTTTTTTTTCTTTCATTCTTCCATGTTGGTTTCTTTGTCCTTCATTTATGTCCTGATATTTACATATTTCTTCTTGATCTTCTTCATAAATCACAGTTTCTGAGTCAATGTTTATCTTTGTTGTTTGTACCAATTTCCGCCTTTTAAAGTTTTGCCTTAGGCTTTTTCTCGTCCGAATTCTATGGTGATATCATCACTGAATGTTCTTATTGTTAACAAAACCTTTATTTTATTATCGTTTTTTAAAGTCATCCGTATGATTAATTCGTCTAAGTGACTAATTATGGAGGTATGTTGTAGTAATGGTTAGTGGCATTGATTGAGGAATCGGAGACCCAAATTCAAATTCCAGTCAAGTTCATTACATTCACTTATATGGTAATACCCTTAGAAAAGGTATGAATCCATCTCTTCTCCACTCCAGTTATGGGTAAAACAACAATCAGTCTAGGAGAAGGAAACTCTGAATTCAAATCACCTACTGCTTTGTAGGACCTGCCTCTTTAGACAAAGGCTAGAAGAAGATAACTTTAAAAACAAATCCACCTGTTAGATGAGGGATGGGATAATCTCAACATCCTTGGTGCAAAAGGGACCAGCAAACCATTGCACTATTTTGCCTTGAATGTCACCATGGGAATAGATTGTCACCATGGGAATAGATTGTTCTGTCATTGTCTAGGAATATCACACCGAGTTCTTTAGTATTAGTTATTGCCTGACAAGATATTACTAGACATAGCCCGCAGAATAAGAACAACCTACCCTTATAGATTAAATAAAGAGTGTAGGGTACTAATTTTAATAGAAAATGATTGTGTGCTACAAAATAAAGAAGTCTTTTTTTCCTTTTCTTTTTAAAACACAAGATCTTGTGAAAAAATCTGAAAACAAAAATTGAATCATATATGATTTTTTTTTTTAATTCTCTGGGAGTTGTAGTGAAGTATCAGAAGCCACATGGCATTAAAAGTTGAGAGTCATAATTTGATACTGTTTTTTCTGCAGTCAAAGGAGCAAGCTGCTGTGAGACACAGTTGTATTCATCTTGCCAAGCAAGTGAACTGTTCTAAGGTAGTTTTATAATCAATCATCATTTTCTTACAAAAAAAGTGTGACATGCAGTGAGGTACGGGTAATTCAGCTAGTATTAAATAAAATTGATCTTACTTTGACAAACCTTAAATGTGGTAATCTATGTAGTGAAAAATGGTGATGAGAGGGGGGTTAAAAAGTGCAGTGCGGTACTCGCTGGCAGGCCAGCTATTTTTTCTTCTTCTTTGATCGCCTCAAGGAAATGGATTGCGTGGCTCCCTTTCTCAACTGTTACACTGGGCAGTTGTGAAACAGACACCAGCTCAGCCACGTCTACTTTGACTTCCTCTTTGTCCGTCTGTCAATCCATACACCCAGCTCTATTGCACACTGTCCGCCGAATGACTTCGGTTCTGTCATGCTGCTGGCACTCTACTTTTTATGCTATTCCAATATGGCCAAAATTTGCTTGTTTGCAAATATCGTCTCATTTTGGACGAGATATGTGCACATAAATTGCGTCTTCAATAGTGGCCATATTTCTTTTTGTCATCATTTTACAGGCAAGACACGTTCACGCTCGTTTCAAATTCTGAGGTAACTCATGTCTTTCATCACATTCTATTCTGCAGCTACAGTAATAGCATAAATACAAAAAGCAAGAAAAATTAAGGCTAAACCATCAAATAAATACAAAGAACCATCATTACAAAGTAATCTAGAGAAAAAGATTGAAATTCTAAGAAAATGACAAACAATTTCAAATGAATTATCAAAAGAAATAAAAAGCAGAAGATTATTAAAAAAATAAAGTGTCATGGTTGTCCTGTCCTGTTCTGAAGAAGACTTTGCCTTGCAATTCATCAGTGGATCTGGAGGTTACTCTGCAAACTAAGTTTGGACATGCAAAGTCTGGAGTAGAGGAAATAGAATAAAATGTAAATATAGTATAAAAAGAGAAAATGACATACCAACTATAAAGGAGATGCTAAAGCAACACAATCAATTAAACATGCAAAATAAAAGAAGATATGGGAAAGGCTATAAATTTTACAATCAAACTAACATTTTCAAATATAACACAAAAAATTCCACAATGAAATATGGGAAAATAATGAATCCTCCATCAATACTAAAAAAAGGCAATAACAGCTACTGAACTTGAGAAACTTATTTTCTGGAAAAAACTGTTTTGATCTTATAAATTTCAACTGACAATAATGGTAACTGTTCAATCAATGAATGCTGAATGTTTCCTTATAAGGAAACTGCCAATTTCACCATTACCATAGAAAAAAGAGCATTGCACAAAAAATCACAAGACTTCTGGAAAATGTGAGGGAAATAAAGAGAATTATGAAAAGGATACAGAATATATTAAAAACCCTGAGATGTCTGAAGAAATAGAGGGAGAGAACAAAATGGTAGAAGGGAGAGTTGGATCCGTGCCTTTCCTAAAGCCATTAATGAAAAGGGAATGCAATCTGCCTCAGTTAGAATTTGAACCTGGTTTACCAGTTCCATTTTCTGCAATAATAACCATATCACCCACTTCTACTTTGTACACTATATTATTATGACTTTTAGAACTGAAATATTTGATGAAAACAGATTTAAGTAAGTTTCATTTTTCATTTCAAATTATCTGTCTATATCTCTGAGATATTATAATTACTTATATTATTTACATTATTCAGACTGTTATCCTCATCTTCATTGCAATATTCACAATGTTTCGGCCATTGTATGCTCCAGCCTTCTTCAGGTGACTGGAATTTCAAACCAAACTTTTTATTTCGTCTACAGGGGTAGATTGTTCTAGTCCCACTTCCACAGTGTCTCTTCCAGATGTCTCAGTTATTTCCCTTTAACTCAACTCACCACGTTTTGGTTCACCACTGCTGAAACGTTGTGAATATGCAATGAAGATGAGGATAGCAGTCTAAATAATGTAAATAATGTAAGTGTTCAAATTATTTATTTTTTATTTTAGTCATTCCTTTTGATAAATATCTTTATTCAAAACTTTCTTACAGGTTCCATGTGGTGCATTCATTCCAAGCATAGCTATCGGTTCCATTCTAGGTCGTGTCGTTGGCATCGCTGTGGAACAATTGGTTTTGTTAGTATAAATATTGAATATTTTCTCATCAACTTTTTTATTTTTGGAGGTTTGTTTAATTATATGAGGTATAGGTACACAAGCACCTTCACAGCCTAATGATGAAAAAAATGTTTATTTTACATAAATATTTATTTTTAACATAATCTCCTTCATTGTTAATGCACTTAATTCACTCATGATTATTAATCCATTGAACATATAATTACCAGTATACTAATACAACATTCTAACATCTAATCAGTTGAGTGGTAGCACCTGTTAGGGTCCCAACTATGGGTAAATAGTGAACTCCCAAACATAAACAAAACACTATGAAAGTTTAAAAATACATTTTTATAGTAAAAATACCAGCAATACCTATTTACAGTAAAATGACCAACAATGCTTAATTATAATAAAATGATCAAAAATGCCTATTTATAGTGAAATGACCAACCAATACATTTTTTGTAGCTGAAGCCATAAAATTGTGTTCAAAATATATAGATTTCAGCATTAAATAACCCATAGTGGTTAATATACTACTAAACAAAATCACTCAGTCTAATCAGTGTTGTAATGGTAAAAACATCTACTTAGAGTTTGGTTTCTTTTGTGGCATATCAACCTCAGTTGGTTATTTAATGCTGACAAGATTTTTATTGCTGATAATATTATTTATTTATCTATCTATCTTGGTATATATGGGTTTGGTTTGTTTTCTTTTACGGCATATCAACCTTAATGGGTTATTTAATGCCGACAACATTTTTATTGCTGGTCGTATTGTTTTTTTCAAAAATTCATTGCTGGTATTAAAACCTATTTTTACATTTTCATAATGTTTTGACACCAGTTTAGGGGTTAACTATTTGCCAATAGTTGGGACCCTAACATGTGCTACCACCCCAGGTCAGGGTGAACCTCAGAATACCAACAATTAAGAGGTTGTTCCATGCTCCTCAAAACCTTCTGATCAAAGGCCTTGATGTCAGATGCAGTTTATCGTCTTACCCAGGATGGCTTAGAGTTAGTGAAATAGTTTGAAACAGTATTCTGTGATGTCTTCCTTTTCTATGCAAAGGTGGATCAAGATGCTAGTCTGCCAGATGTGGAGATTGTGGCATTAACTTTGTGCAAAAAAAGACATTAACATATAAGTAAATTAAGACTGTTCATATGAGCAACTTTGTACTCTGCTCATTTGCTCCTCCTCAATGTTGATTTATTGTTATACAGACAATTCTGAAATTTAGCCTAAAAGATAAAATATCAACAAGAAGTAAAATCTCAAGATTCAACATGTTAATCATGCAGATCAATTATTATACAGTGAAGATCTCAATATAAGAATTCATTTAATAACTTGTTGTTAGGCTTGTAATGGCATGGAGACACAGTAGAGTAATGGACAGAAGACCAGGTTAAAGAATTGAAGAGCCAAGTTTGAATTCCAGTCAAATTTATTACAATCACTTATGTGCTGATAATCTTGGGAAAAGGTATAAATCCATCTCTTCTCCCCCTCAATCTATGGGTAAAATAGGACAAACTGGATCCTATAACATTTGGTGGCAACCAGTCTAGGAGAAGGAAAACTCTGAAGTGGATCCAAATTCCCACTGAAATTTCTACTATTGGTTGGCACATCTGAATGAATATGACCTCTGCTACACTTGGTCAGCTTTTGTTCTGATGAGGTGGGTTCATTCGACAAAGTTGGCTCAACCAACAGGTGAGTGCCACAATAGATACAGATAACAGTGGCCTTTACCATTAACAAGGAATGTAAAAGTGGAAGTTACAAAACAACAAATAGAGATAATATGTGCTTGAGATAAGTAAAAAATTTTTTTTATTTCCCTTAATTTATCATTCTGTCAGATTATGATCCATATTAAATCTGTCAGATTATGATCCATATTAAATCTGTCAGATTATGATCCATATTAAATCTGTATTTGAACACAATTTATATACATATATATATTAAAGAATTGCAGGTTAAATATGTTTAAAACATTAACAATAAAAAATTTAAACTAAGTTACCTCCCTTACATATTCTTAATGTAAATTGACTCTAACAGAGTGCATTTCATGCACATTTACAAAAAAATTTACAACTATCAATGACATTAATTTTTGTCTTAGAAATTCAGCCCTGAAGATGATCTTGGGTGAGATTGAAAGTACTTGGGGAAAACAAAAGAAATATCCAAAACTACGGCGTTTTTCTTACTCAGTTTTGTAACAGCACTAAGAAATTGATCCGTGAATTTGAGAGGAATAAAATAAATAGAAATAATATGTTTAGATTATTCAACCAAACATGCTCGAATGAAGATATGCTGCCTAATATATATATATATATATATATATATATATATATCCTTTTACCACATATAGAGGAAAGGCTATTTCAGCAGACAATGAAAGTGGTTGTCTTTTCAACACTAGAGTTGAAAAGACAGATGAAATAGCCTATTCCCCATATGAGGTAAAAGGATTTGTCTGATTATTAATTATATTGCTCTGTATAAATAAAATACATCAAACTCTTCTTTTGTAGATCAGTTCTAATATTTTTATATTACTAGGTTCCACTTGGATTATATACCAATGGATTTTTTACTTTACTATAACTCTATTTTTCAGTTATATATATATATATATTATATTAAATATATATTTTAAAGAAAAACAGACCACTTTAAGGATAATGACCTTAAAGTGATCTGTTTTTCTTTAAAATATTAGCTCTGGATTTACATTGAGCTCTCAGGATTTAATCCTCCTTGGGACTACCCATACAGATTACCAAGTTTTCCATAACTTAAATATATATATATATATATATATATATATATATATATATATAATAATGTCTTTTTATTATATCGAAGTCAAATTTTCAGTTAACTGACACATAAGATCTCATTAACTATAAATAAGAGATTTTTCTGCTAGTATTAAGAAAAAGAAAAAATTGAAACAATACTCTTTATAAATAATGAATGCTCTAATATTTTGTCTAGCATTAAATAAGAATTGAAATATTTGGTTATTTCTTAGGAACTAGTTATTTATCCATATCACAGGTAGAATTTATCAGATACATAAAGATTTTAATTCTTTCTGAATGTGGAATGAAACATAAGAAATAATTAAATAGAGCAAAGTCAATATAGTCCGACATTTCCTTAGTACTTTTAGTATATGAACTATGATAGTAGCTATCATATCAGTAATAAAAAAATCATCACTTAATGCTTACCTTTTCTGTTAGAAATCTTAAGCAGAGGTGAAGTAAGGCTCCCATGCCTACCCATTCTGCCCAATCTATGATACAAACACCTTCCCACTCTACTACATCTCAATTTTCATAAGGCTAGTATTGGTATAAAATATGCAAATTTTATAGTACCCTAATTATGGACAGTAATGGATACTATGCAATATAGATGAACAATTCAACTAGAAAAATTGAAAATAAATACAATGTATCTAGAGATATGTCATAATAGATGATTCCATCTTAAAATAAATCAACAATGTTTTACAGCAATTTTAACATCAGCTTGAGATTTTTCTTGTTAAACCGTTGAATAATTTTAACATTCAACATTAAGGATAAAAAATAGTTAATTTTATATTGTGTTTTTTTTTTTTTGAGATTTAACCTGAGCATAAGAAATTCACAGATGATTTGGAATAAAAAAAAAAATAAAGACCCCAGAATGATGTCAAAATCCACCAAAAATGTTCATCTTTGTGACATATAAATGTAGGTAGAAAAAAAAAAAAATATTGATAAGATAGTGAGCATCACAAAACCCTGCCTGGGCAGTTCAGGGATGGTACATGCTGAGCTTGGTCTCAAGCACCTTATTAACTTCAAAAGCATGTTGAAAGAGTCTGAAGAATAAATTTGGGCTACCCTCAAAGAATTTGTAATAACCCATTTTTGATAAGTATTTTTTTGGGTGCAAGAAAGTACTCATTAATTATTTATTATTTTACATGGCAATAAATAAATTAAAAATCACCATAGTAACATCACTTAAAAATTGAATTTAACTATTAAAATATACAATTTTTTATTGAAAATGTGTTTGGGCAAGTTTCAACACTAAATCCTAAATATCTTTTGAAGGTTTCACCTTATAATAAAGCCATTTTTATCCTGAATATGCTAACAGTTTCTTTGTGTCAATATTTATGCGATGAAGTATTGTAACTATTTACACTATTTGGACTGTTGTCCTCATCTTTATTGCCATATTCACAATATTTTGATTGGTGTACCCTCTGGCCTTCACCTGAAGAAAGCTGGAGCATACAATGGATGAAACATTGTAAATATGGCAGTAAAGATGAGGACAACCGTCTGAATAGTGTAAATAGTTAAGTTTCTGCTTCTATCACATATTTCACTTGTGGAACTCTCTTCAGGCTTCTTGCTTTAAAATTAACTTTGATCTTCAAAAATTTAAACACAATGTTAATCATTAACTACTTTCATTTTAATTCTTGTTTTGTTATTGTTTTCTCTCCTGAATACAGTTTGTTTTTTCTCATATTCTCTAACACTCAGTAACCCTTTGCATCTTAGTGGCTTTATTGCCTTACTTGAAGTAAAATGATTAAAAAAAAAATGTACATTTTTTTTTTCTTTTTTGCATCAGAGCAAATCGTAATTCCTGGTTCTTTGCAAATATGTGCTCTACCCATGAAAAATGCACTATAACACCCGGTTTGTATGCCATCGTTGGCATTGCTGCTGTCCTGGGAGGAGTGACAAGAATGACGGGTAACAAAAAATATTTCTCTTCTCTTTGCTCCAACTAGATATTATAATAATTCCAGTTAGTGATATTTCACATAAACATTTAATATATAAGTTTCTATTTAAGGATGGACCAAGTGAGGTGGTTGAAATAGTTGCATCTTTCACACTGACAGTGATTAGTGATTTAGCAAAAATAGAAGGTAAGCTTTCAAATAAGACAAGCCTGATGCAATACAATCTTCCACATCTGACTTGGCATGCTTGGATAGTTGGATATTTTCATTTGATACCAATGGATAGTGTTTGGGCTAAATGCTGATTTTTTTATATAAGGAAACAATTAATATTACCATTAGAAATGATGAGAACAGATACTGAACTTTGATCTCAGCCCATTGACCAAAGAGTGAAAAAAGTATAACTCCAGTTGCACTGGTTGCAATATTTATTGTACGATTGATACAAATATGGTACATGGCTAAATTGTGGGGTGTTAGGTGCTGGTCATCTCATTTACCTTACATTTATCTCAGCTAGACACAATCACCGACTAAAACCTACCATAATTTTACTAACACCAAAACAACACAACCTTACAATTCTTACGACAGTCACCATAATACCACAATTTCTCTATGATGTCCTAACTAGTCCCCATATCTACAGTGTATGGGTGGTGGGGAATAACAACTTTTAAAAATTAAACCCCATTGTGTAATTACAATGTTCACAAGGCTATTTGCAATACAAAATTAAATTAGTAGTTAAATCCCCCCCCTAAATTGTGGCAGAAACATCAGTTAACTGAATTAAATTAATACAGGACTAAAAAAAATTGAAACAATCACTAATACAAGACACTCACTTAAAAACGCACTCATTCAGACACAACAGAAAATATAAAACATTTCTGTCTCTTTCAATTCATGAGTCACTAGGCAGAAGATTGTTCCACAGTTGGTTGCCATTTCTTTCAGTGGTATACCAGTTGCCAGCAAAGGCTATAGAACCCATTTTGTCCTGCTATTCAACCCAAAACTGGTGGGGGGGGAGAGATTTATTGATAGAGTATTTGTGAGTAAGTGAATGTAACTATCTCAACTAGAATTTCAACTCAGCCCCCCATTTTCTCATTCAGAGCTGATATCCATTAGATCCCCAATGCACACCCAAGAGTAATCATTCAAAATTTGATGAAAATGTATTTTCTAATTTTAAATTTTATATTGATTTCTATCTCCTCTTTTATCCTCCTATATTTTATTAAAAAAGAAAAAAAAAACGTTTCTTTTTACATATTACATCTTCACTAAATGCAAGAATAGAAAAATGTTTTAAAAATATAAGAACAATATTAAAAAATGGTTATTAATATTACTTGTTTTATTTTATTTTATCTTATTCTTTTCTCAGTATCTTTGGTGGTTGTGATATTTGAACTGACTGGTGGTTTACTCTATATTGTGCCCATGATGGTTGCAGTGATGACTAGTAAGTGGGTTGGTGATGCCTTTGGTCGAGAAGGAATGTATCCTTTTATTTATTTTTATATTGCTGCTTCAAGACTTAACTGAACTGGTAACTACCTTCATTTCTATCAGCTTCACAATAATTCACAATAATTCTTTTTAACAGCATTTTTTTTGTTGTTCAACTTGTTGTTGAAATTCCAACATCAGAGGATTCTAAAAAGATTTGGAACATGCGATGCCACAACACTAGAGTTCTTGTTTAAATTATTCAAATGAGAATTTTGTTTGAATTTTGTAATGCGATAAATCCACAAATTTTTTGTTGTTGTATGTATTTTTCAGTTAAAGTGACATGGAGTGAAGTATAGTCTAATTAATAGAGTAAAATGTCTTAGTAGTTTTTTTTTTTCCCCAGAATTTTAGATTCTGAATGTAATGCAGATTTAATTTTTCATAAATATATTAATTTGTGCAGTATATTATATCATATTATTATTATTATTAATTCTGAAATAATATAACTGTCAATAAATAGTTTATTTTTAAAACATCTTTCAGTCTGCACTACATTTATTTTGTCTTGGAGTTTACCTATAAATGGAAATATTCCACCCTGAAGATACTAGGCACAAGGTCATTTATAGGCACAAGGTCATAAATTCCATCTGTTGAACAATTCAAATATAGGGATAACATCATTCAAGGAATTAATAGTAAGTTAATGTCTCATTAAGTCTTATTAATTGTTAGTCAAGGGATTTCGCCATTAATCACATTAACATTACTAATTAATTCTTTGAACAATTATTTATTTACTAGCAGTAGATCCCAGCGTTGCCTGGGGATGTAACAGTAAGAGATAGATCAAGTATCGACCATCATAAAGACTGAAAAATAAAATTGACAAAGATTATTGTTTGACGGACATTAATCTTAATTAGTTTTTTTTTTTTTGCTTTTTTTTATGAATTGGTCAAACCCAAGCTCAAACAAAAACATTATTTTCAATTGTTATGAGTCTACTGATTGAATAGAATTTTATTATAAACAATTGTCTTGTAAATGGAATTTTTAAAGCATTCTGAATGTAAAAATAAAGAAAAAAGTGTGCAAGACAATAAGAAACACTACCTGCCAAAAAAAAAGTGAAGTTTTGTTGAAATCAGTTGAAAAATGTAGGAAATCCGATCCCATATACAAACAAATACACACACACACACACACACACACACACACACAAACAACCTGGGTTTTATAATAAGTATAACTCGATATGAGTTGTTTCCCTTTCATTCTCGTGATGCCTCTTAATCATGTTTTCAAATTGATTTTGGGCAAAAACAATTCTGTTTTTCCAATTTTTGGCACTGTCAGAACCACTGCAAGGTAATTTTACGTAGTCCTGTGAAGTTTTGTTGAAATTGGTTGAAAAATGTAGGAAATCCGATCCAATATATAAATGTACAGACACACACACACACACACAACCTGGGTTTTATAATAAGTATGATAATATATATATATATATATATATATATATATATATATATATATTGCACAAATTAATAAATACATACATATATATAATTCATCAGACCTACAAATTCAATTCGGAGTTATTTTTTCTGATTTCCTTTTGAATTTTACGATTCCAATGTAATAAATTATAACCATGGAATATTAGTGTTTAAGCCTTTTTATTATATTCTTACTCTCTCCTGGACATTGACCACTAATATATATGTGTGTGTGGTTTTGATCCGAGCTTGAAGCAATCAGATGTCTCGTCACACTGTGATATAGTGAAACAGTCTGTCTGTGGATGACTATATATATATATATATATATATATATATATATATATATATATATATATATATATATATAATGAAATGGACAAAGTCCGACAATTATTTTAAGACATTTTTTTTTTTATGTTTATACATTCTTTTTATAGATACAAATATTTAAGTAAATGCTCTGTTTATAATAAACAGTATTAACAACATTTACCGGCCTGAATGTCTGAGAAATTTTTATAGAAAATATGCATCCTCCTGCAGGAATTGAACCTGTATACAGAACCATCATATAGTCTGATGTGCTTTTACTGATTGAGTCACAGAGGAGCGTTTAGGTTAGCAAGGTCAATTTTACTGTTTTTAAACCTCAATTCTCCATGATTTTCTCTCATACATTCATAAAAGCACGTCAGGCTATATGACAGTTCCGTATAGGATACAGGTTCGATTCCTGTCAGAGGACACATATTTATATGTAAGCCTTTTCCAATAATCATTTTTGTAGCTTTTCATAGAGATTTCTTGCACTGACATAGAATTTTCCTTGAGTTATTTTTTCCAGTTATGATGCTCATATACAACTGAATGGTTATCCATATTTAGACAACAAGGAAGAATTCACTCATACAACAATAGCATCAGATGTCATGCGACCACGGTAAGCTTTCCTCTCAGACTTTTATCTCCTCTTCCCTGTCAATTAAAGTTATCTACTGTATATACTTGGATATCATGCAATATTTGAAGACCTAATTCTGAAGCTAATTTTAAGAGGGTTGCATCATACATGAGATATAAAATTAACATATGTACTGCTGGACCAGTAAATACCTTGTTAATTGCACAACTCAGATTAACGTCTGGTAAATCCTAAATCAAAACCCAAATCATCGACACACAATAATTCACACTAATTCAACTGGATAGTTACACTCAATAGTCACTCCAGTTAGTAGCCTGACATCGATATTTATACACCTGGCAGAAAATATATATTCATAAGTCCAGAGTGTTATGCTCAAACCTCAGTGTTGGTAGTTACTCATTTTCTTCCTATATGACACCTGCTTAAACTAGACAAAATAATTTTCCTATTATCCCAACACAATACATAGAAAATCTTCAGAGGTCAGTGAAAAATATATATTCTAATCAAATACGAGCGAAATAAAAAGGTAGAACTGTTTCTGAAAACAGAAGAGAAACGGAACATTATATACATTTTTATTTACACTGTTTATATTTGGACTATTGACCTCATCTTTGCTGTTGTTATCACAAAATTTTGGCCATTGTGGCTTCTGAACTTCATTAGGTATATATAAGTCTGGGTAACCTACAATAAATTCTGAAGTGAACCCTTTATTAAATCTACAGGGGTAGACTGTTCTCATACTACTGGATATCATCTAGTTCTTATTTTTAATACTACTCAATTATTGCTTGCTTGTTTCCATAGAGTCCAAGTACACACTGCTTGGCCCAAGAATTGAACTCATAATCTCTATATCCCCAAATTTACAAACCAACGCTTTAATTTTTATCCTGGAGGACAATTCTCTGTAGTGAACTTGGAGGTTTAAACCTAACTTGCCTGCTGATTAGTGCTGCTACTGTTGCTGCCTGTCAGGTTTTGACTGCTGCTGCTGCTGCTGTTGAAACCTTGTCTCTCTTTCTTTCTTAGCATTAATGTGATAACAATAATAAAGATGAAGACAATAGTCTGAATATAAATAATGTAAATAATGATAACTCTTCATCCCAGAAATTCAGACAGAAGGTGATCAGGGGATAATAACAACAAAGATGAAGACAATAGTCTGAATATAAATAGTGTAAATAATGATAACTCCTCTTCCCAGAAATTCAGACAGAAGGCAATCAGGGGATAATAACAAAGATGAGGAGAATAGTCTGAACGTAAATAGTGTAAATAATGATAACTCCTCATCCTGTTTGCTTTTGTTATTAACTCAAAATGTATTTTTTATTCATAGTAGAAAAAAGTGAGGGCATTTGTACTTTCTGGAGGCTTCTTCTTAGCCAGATTAACTTCAGTCTGAACATATAATTAAATAAGTAATAATTGTTAGATTTGGAATGGAATTACAAGCAAAAATCTGTAAAGAAAGCAGTTGATCTCATTTCTAAATGCTGTTCCCTGTTTTTTCTAAAAGTTCCTATTCTTAGAAATTCTTTCTCTTTTTCTTTTAGAATTAATGAACCTCCTCTACATGTTATTACTCGAGACTCTATGACTTTAGAAGAAGTAGGTAAGTAAAAAAAAAAGTTTCTAACTCCTTGTGGGTCTTGGAGTAATTCATTATTTCATTGATTAGTTTTTATGAATATTCTACGCAAATAATAAAATATTAGTAGAAAACTTTCATGGTTTTGCTATTTGAATTTTCTGGTTGATTGATTTGATTTGTCTGTTTAATGGCATATCAACTCCTTATGGGTCATTTAATGCCAAAATTCAATTTTCTAGGGAGCTTGGAAGTAATAAAAATATGATGTTATTCTGCTTTCATAACTGGATACATGGTAGATGATACTCAGCTTTTGTGCATATCAGACGGGGATATGCTTGTTTTATGTTGTAGTTCTGTTGAAGTTATATTTTGGAATACAGTTTGATATAAGAAATTCTGGGATATTATATGGATTAATATCATGAAAATTCTTTTATGTTGGTTGTTTGGTAGCATTTTAAATGGATTAGGGTGAAGTTATTAAAATTGTTGGTATGTGCGTATTGTTGGTTATTTTTTTTACATAAAAATCTATTGTTGGTATTTTTACTATAAAAATGTCTTTTATACTTTCATAGTGTTTTGTTTTTGTTTGGGAGGTGGTCAATGTTTTTCCATAGCTGGGACCCTAACAAGTGCTACCCTCCCAGTCAAGGTGGACCTTGGAATAACAGCAATTAAGCAATGGTTCCACACTCCACAAAACCTCCAATCTCCCAATCAGAGGCCTTGCTGCTAGATGTAGTTTATCATCAAAAGCAAGATTAGAATTTTCTGGTAAATCATAATTTTGAAGTCAACTTTGAGCTTTAAAAATTTAAATGCAATGTCAAATGTTATCTTTTGTCTTAACTCTTGTTCTTTTATTGTTTTCTGTCCCTAATAAAATTTCTTTTTTTCAAATTCTCTCACGCTCACTTGTATCTTAATGGCTTTATTACCTTGCTTGAGATGAAATGATTAAAAAAAAAATGATTGAATATGCACCTGGATAGTTCTACAACTATAAAATACTTGCAGAATTTTCCTTGTTTTTTGTTAAATATTTAACAACTTTAACAAAATATTGCAATAACGATCCAAAGTATGAATGCAGGTCATTATTTAAAGAAGTAAGAGGGTACAAATAAAAAGATTTGAAATTAACAAGTATTTCTATTTTACTAAAGGAGACGTTAAACACATGAGTGTTATCATCACCACTATGGTTGCTTTCTTTTACTCACTGAAACCAAACGGCATCCTTAATGTTTTTTTCTCCTTTTCCCTCACAATCAAAACAGTATATTCCATTATTTATGAGGTATTGGCAGGATGTAAAGATCATGCTAAGGAATGAAAAAACAAGCAGAATTATAATTAAATATTTTCAGTTATTCCCAGGTAAAAATCTAAAATAAAATTTTGTTTGACATTAAATTTCTCAAGTAGGGTGGGGTCATTTTGTTGTCTATGACTGGCTGTGGAAGATACATTAACAGGAGCCTCTGACTGGCACCTTTAAAAACCTTTTAAAAAGAAACTCTTTTTTCTTTTCCTTTATCTATGCATAGTGTCACCAAACAGGAAGTACTCCTTCCCAGCCAGTCTGTAAGTAGGACCATTCTTTGTTCAGAAATGTAGACTTTTGAGCTCAGACTCCGTTGTTAATGAAAAGCATACCTTTTCCACAGCCAAACTTTGATTATTTTATTCCTATTTCAGAGAACAAATGTTTTCATAAAATTTCAATCAATCATGTATTTTGCTTTCATTCTTTGTTTTTTTAAAACATTCTTGATGATAACCTTCTCAGTAAATTTTCTTTTTAATCATTTCCTTCCCCCCCCCAAGCAAGGTGATAAAAGCCACTAAGACATAAAGGATTACTGAAAGTGCAAAAAAAGACATTGTAGTGGGTTAGTCAATCTGTACTGGTGACAAATACAAATAAAACTGACCCTCTAATATTTTTACTAAAACAAATTCAACAAAGACAACAAGAGAAATAATCAAATAGACAGATATTTGTTTTAACAAAACAAATACACACGGTATAATAAAGTTGTTTAAAACACTTTAGAGTTCTTGGTTGTGTGATCAAGAGTAATATAAAATGTGTTATGCTATAGATCTGATATTCAGAAATTGTGTGTATGAACATCAACAAATTTGAACAAGTATTTACATGTTTGGTAAGAAATTAAAGTTTATGTTGATGGTGAAATTGAATGAAATAGATTGCTTGACTTACTGTACAGTTGTCTTCCTTTGACTGATGTAGTTAAGCTATTGAGTGAGTTGGTTTCTGAATCTCGTCTTAGTTGAATTTGTCACTAGATGATGAGATTGAATTCCACAAGCCGGGTTGATGTTAATAAAATTTTTATCAAGGAAGTTTGGTTTCATGAATTCATGTGACGAGTTGATTATTTTAAGGACTCACTGATTAAGTCATGTCGAAGTTTCATATTTATGAATTTTTTTGATCACGTGGAGAACGTTTATATTTTTTTGGCACGTTGAACTCTGAACAGGTCAACTCAAGGTCAAGGTCAACCATACGGACATAAGCAGAAACATGACATGTGAAAATATTTATCATATAAAATGTTGTTTTTTAAATATTGCTTTGTACATTTGAACTTTGGAGTCACCAATTTGTAGTGGGTTAGACAATCTGTATAGGTGACAAATACAAATGAAATTGACCCTCTACTATTTTTACTAAATCAAATGCAACAAACACAACGACAACAAGAGAAATAATCAAATAAGCAGATATTTGTTTTAATATCTTTTATATAACACAACAAATACACACGATATAATAAAGTTGTTTAAAATACTTTAGAGCTCTTAATTGTATGATCTAGACTAATACTAAAAGGGTTATGTTATAGATCTGGTATTCAGAAATTGTGTGTATGAACATCAACAAATTTGAACAAGTATTTATGTTTGGTAAGAAATTAAACAGTTTATGTTGATGGTGAAATTGAATGAAATAGATTGCATGACTTACTGTAGAGTTGTCTCACTTCAACTGATATAGTTACAATTTCCTTTATGTTGTTAAGATATTGAGTGACTTGGATTATGAATTTCATCTTGGTTGAATTCATCACTAGATGAGTTGATGTTGAAAAGAGATTGAATTCCACAAGCTAAAAATTTGATTATGAGTTGATTATTTTAAGGACTCACTAAGTCATGTCGCAGTTTCATATTTATGAATTTTCTTGATCACATGGGAGACTTAAGAAAATGTTTACGAATTTTTGGCACATTGAACTCTGAACAGGTCAACTCGAGGTCAACTGTGTGGATGTAGGCAGAAACATGACATTATTATTTATGGACTAATCAGAAGGCATTGTTTTGTATTGAAATCTGGAGCTTATTTTAATGGGTTCAGCACAAACTGAGAATACTTAGCTGTGATCCACTTTTAACAGGTTTAAAACAGAGAATGTAGAAATCTAATTCTACAACATTAATGAAGAAAAGAGCATTAAAGAAAAAATTCAAGGAGATAGATGATGACAATTGACATGGCATTTAAATTTTTGAAGATCAAAGGTGACTGGAAAGCAAGAAGCCAGAGGAATGTTCCAAAAGTGAAAAGTGCAAGAGAAGAAACTGTTAGCATAGAACTTACATCCATCAATTTCACTGTTAAAATAATGAGACCGAGCTGCAAATCTAATACTTAAATTTGTGAAGTAAACACCAAAGTGGAAATCTTATCAGAATAATTCCCATGAAAATGTTTATAGAAAAAAGTACAGGGAAGATATGTTATGCCGTTGAGAAAATGACTGAAGTTGAGATGCCAGGTCAGGATCGATAATCTTATATATTTTTCTTTGAATTCTTTCAAGAATCTCTAGATACATAGCAGAAGCAACAGACCCTACCCTAAATATCTCTGCCATTTGAGTTGCAAGGACTCTTGTAACAGAACAGAGATAGGAGTGTGTGTAAAAAGTGCTGGAATATAAATTCTCTCGTGTTTTACTTGTATTCATCAGTGGATCATGAATCTGTGGCTAAGAGTTTTAAAATACTGTTAAGCTAAAGCCTCAAAATGAAAATAAATAAAATAACCCTTAAATACAAAAAAAGGAAAATATGTGTAGAGTAAGTGGTCATAGTTAAATGAAATGTAAATGATAGAACTGCACAACAAACAGAATTGACGAAGTTTATAATAAACAATAACAGGAAAAGAACAGAGTAAAACTAATGCAAAGCAAGCAAACAATATATATAAAGCAAAGCAACAGTAATAAGGCAAAATGTTTACAAAGTAAGGATTGGTTTTGACACACAGTAACAAATTTGAATTAATGAATGTAGCATTCTGACTTCAAGACAAGACACACCGGGACTGAGTCAGGTGAAATTGAGAAGTGACCTATTTTATTGGCTAAGAAGAAATCCCAGCCTGCATTTGTGTACTTCTTTCTATATATTGGAGAGGGGAGAGTGTTTTGCAATCATTCCTAGTCAAGATTGGAACCAACAAAGTAAATGTACAACAGGTTTAATTTTAAACAACATGCCTAAAAACTAGTTTCAGAATAAACCAACACGACATATAATGATTTTCTTTAATTTTGTGTACAGGATACAATGATTCATTATAAATAAATTTGCTCTATAAAAAGTACTTTTGTTATTTTCAGAATGTCTTTTAAAAGACACCAACCACAGTGGCTTTCCGGTAGTTGTATCAAAAGAAACGCAATACTTGATTGGATTTGTGTTACGTAGGGATTTGAATATTGCAATAAGTAAGTCAACAAAATTTTTTTTTCTAGAATATGCTGATGAATGATTGATATGAAATATGGAAGATAAAATCTGTGAAAATCAGTTGGATGTTTATCTTTATTTCCTTGTTAACGTTTCACTCAGTATGAGCATTTTCAAAATAACTGAGATGATCTAAGGAAAGAAAATAAAAATACATACATACCTATGTTTTTTGTTGTTGAGGCAGGACCATGCACAAGGGAAGGTGGGTCCTGCCTGGCTGAGGATCTCCTGTTGTAATCATTTGAGGCAAGGTTTTAGAAGGCCCCAGATGTTCTTCCTGATGTCCAACTCAGACACTCATAGTAGTCTAAGTAATGTTTTTATCATGACACCATCTCTAGGAAGGTTGCCATTCATGACTTGAGACCCCCCCACCCAACCATATAAATATAATTACTCTTATTCCTTATTGAACATTGGGGTTCCTTTTAACACAGCATCTGAGGAGCAGGAGAGTTTCAGTGGGAATTTGGATTTACAAGTGGCTCCCAGCCTTATGTATACCTTTTTTAGGATAGTGTTATCTGGACTGAATTCAAAGTTTCCTTTTCCTAGACTGGTTGCCACTCAAGCCTATAAAACCTAGTCTGTCTTGCTATTTTACCCATAGTTGGGGGTAAAAGAGATGGATTCATACCTTTCCCAAGGGTATTATTACCATGTAAGTGAATGTAATAAATTTGAACTTGGCTCTTCATTTCCTCAATCCAAACTGCTAACAATTACTCCATCACTCCTCCATTATATGTGTGTATGTGTATATATATATATATATATATATATATATATATATATATATATATAAAGAAATATACTATTAAGGTGTGCTATATTTATGGGATAAAGTGCTCAATATCAGAGATGGAGTGTGTGTAAATATAAAAGTGAACATTGAAGTCAACACTTAGAGGTGACAGGCTGTTTCCTGTTAGACGCACACAGGTAGTATTCTTTTGGTATAATCCAAGCAAGTCCTATTAACACAATATAGAATTTGAAATATTAAATAATTAAATGTTAAAACTGACTCACAAAGAACGCTCAATGTTTATTTTCATTAAACAGAGCAAAATTTTTCTTACAATTGGAATTAGAATGCTATTAGTTAATGACCATTTTCACCTACAAATTTTTAATTTAAGATTTGCAGGATTTTTCAAACTGTTCATGGTGTAAGTTTGTAGAAGGAAAGGATAGAAATGTAAAAGGAAGGCTGAAAATAGCTGTGCCTAAAAGGTATAGACAACAAAAAAGTGCTCAATACAAAATTCAAAATCTCATATGTAGTGCAAAGATATTTAAGAAAAGGATAAAATGGCAACCAATCTTGTGACCTGGGTTTCAACCATGAGGTCTTCTCAGGCTACTGGAAGGACCCTTTCCATTTGCCTAAGGAGACCTCACAGTTGAAACCCAGGTTGTGAGGTTAGTTAGCATTTTAGCCTTTTCTTATATATATTGATCAGACACTCCAATAAGAAGTTTATCCATATTTACCAAAAATTCAATGGCTTGTCTCTTTATTCAGAATTTCCAAGAGGCAATTCTGCACATCAGGGGTAAGATAGATTTAGGTATTGAATTTAGTAACAGATGTCATATGATATAATATGTTAATAAATTCAATCAATTTATCTTGTCCCTGATGTTCAGATTTGCCTGTGAAACTCTGAATAAAGAGATAAATCATTGAACTTTTTATTTATTTATTCATTATTAAAATCACATCATGGAGCAAATTATGCAGTGAGGTGGCCTGTTACCAGGTCAGGTACCTGGCAGAATGGATCTGATGTTGCAATACCTGAAATCCATAATGAAGCCAGTGTAACATCATGGTTGACCTCTGCCATTACATTTTATGAATGTATTTTAAGAAGACTAATTAAATGTTTTTTTGTTTGTTTTTTAGCTAATGCCCGCAAAATCCTTGATGGAATTTCTAATGAGTCTATTGTATATTTCACCTCTCATGTTCCACCAAGTGAAGGTGTGATGACCCCAACCCCACTGAAGTTAAAGAGAATTTTAGACATGGTAGGTATTAGTTTTATTGAATTTAAAGGAACATACAAAACTTGGGTTTCTACTACAGATAGTTTATACTTTTTTATGTAAACTGTAGGGAAACAAAATTCTAAATGTCTCTGTTCATTTTTTTCTTGTGAAAGTTAGGGTAAGTGCTTTGTGCTGAGTTAAAATTACCAAATTCCTTACTTCATGAGTGGAGGTGAAAAATATATCTAAATGCTATGTGCCAGAAAGTGGAAAGAGAGTTTCTTTTTTTCTGGTCCAGAAGTCATGATAAACATGGTTATATAAGCTCAAGTCAGCTTTGTGCTGAGTTGGAACAACCAAAGAAAAGGTTGATTTACTTCATAGATGGCGGTTTTGGAAGACACATGTAAACACTATGCATTGGAAAGTGGAAAAGAATTTTCAGTCATCAGTGAACTGTGGAAGTGAGCATGCCCCAGAAAGGATGTCCTTTTTGCTGCATCTTGGAGCAAGAGGTAGAAAAAGAGAAAGGGGAAGAAAATGTTTGTCATTTTATAGACTTAAACAGTGCCACCTAATAGATGCTTGATGAAGTCAAGTAGAGTAATAAAATTTCCAGTTCCTTTATTACTAGCATCATGGGAAAATGTATTTCTGTAGGAATTTTTCCTGGTTGTGTGTGTGTGCTCAGCAGGGAGAGTGGAATAAATGAAACCTAAGGCTCGAAATAACCATTCAACAGCTTTTATTTCTGCTTGAAAGAGAGTGAAAAATAGTATTTTGTGGGTTTCTGAGTTAACAAAGTTCTTGAGTAGTTGTTTTGTAGAGTGTGAAACAGCTAAGACAGGCCTCGTCTTCTGCAGCAAGGATTGGGTGTAGTTTTTCTTTTGTCTCAAAGAGAGATTTCTCTGCTGGTTCCCACAGAATAAATGAGAAATCTGAAGTCAAGCTGCCAGGACAGGCCTCATCTTCTGCAGCAAAGGTTGTGTGTAGCCCTTCAAGCTGGCCTTGAAGGTAGAGGCTGCTGAAAATGAAAAGTGGGAAAGAGGCTGAATAGGGCTTGGGACTTCTGGGACTTCCAGCTGTACTGCTGATTATTTCCATTGCTGCTACTGCTGAATCGAGCAAAGTAAGGAAGCCCCCACATGCCACAGTTTTTATATCTCTTTTTTTTTCTCTTATTCATTATTTTATTTATTGGTTTTTTCATTTTTGCTCAGTGTCCCTGGTAATGAATATTTAAGATTTATATACTTATATATATTTATTTTCATAGTATAAGTAAATTGACTTCATAAGTTTTAATTTGTAGATGAGTTTTCAAATACATTTGTTACTTTTTTAGAAAAAAATATTTCATGTTTAGATAGCAAATACTTCTGTTGTGTTTTGTATAAAAAGATTCTTCATCTCATTATTTTATGAACTGCATCAGGAAAATAATTGTCTAGCTGAGATGAAAGCATCCAGATTGAGAAACCACAAAACATCAATTCTTTAACCAAATCATAATAGAAATACAATTAACTTTTAGTTGAAATTATTCAAACAATGGATAAATGTGATGTTAGTGAAATTCTCCTTGAATTAACTCCCTTGTTTCTCAACAACAATAATTTATTGCAGAATAAGTTTAGTTTGCATAAAATATTTCCTTAGACTGATTTGCCAGATGAAGGACAAGAACTTTAACTACAAATTACAAAGTTGATTGAAGTCATGGAAGTTCACAGAAAATAAAAAGAAAAAGAAATTAGGCTTTGGGATATTTTAGATAATAAAGTTTTTTTTTTTTCTGCAGTCACCAATCACCATCACTGATCAGTCAACCATGGAAACAGTAGTACAGATGTTCCGTAAATTAGGACTCAGGCAGACACTTGTTACGCATAATGGGTAAGTAAACCAAATAATCAAGAAATGACTGCAATTCATTGAATTTTTTTTTTAAATCCTTTCACGCTAAGGTCACTGGGAGTGGAAAAGAATGAGAAAATTTTAGTGAAGAAAAAGGACAATAAAAAAAAAAAACAAGATTTAGGATAACTTGCCAACACAATGTTATTTTCATTGCATTAATAAAATGTGATTTCTACAACCCACCTCTCTCTCCACACACACACATCATGGGGCAGAGGAGTAGCAATGCCCCAAATTGCTGAAACAGAATTGACTCAAAAGTTCTCAATAAACAATGAGAAAAGAAGAAAAATAGCACTAAGCAAACAATATAAAATGCCACGCAAAAGTTTACAACACATTACAAAAAATGTTTTATAGGTATTTCTACTAGTTACATTAATTAAACTTTTGTTGCTCATAGAATATATATTTAAGTATTCAGTCAAACAATCAAATGTTTTAAAAAACTTTAAAAAAGTATCCTACAAAGAAAAATCGATATTTAGTAACACAAAAGTTTACAACACATTTTTTTATTTGCAACAGCTTTTTTTTATAAAAGTGTTCAAATTTTACTAGAATATTCCAAATTAGGATAGGGGTTGTTTTTTAGAATGTTCCAAATTAATTTTATGATTACTTTTAGGAATTATTAAAAGTATTCCGTCATTCTTTTTCTGTCAATTGTCCTTTAAACATTGACAAAATGGGGGAAAAGCAAAATAATTAATCAAGACCTCCGTAAACGTATTGTTGACCTTCATACAAATGGACTTGGTTATAAGAAGATATCTAGTCATTTAAATGTGCCATTGAATTCAGTTAGTATGATAGTTTGTCACTGGAAGACATGTCATTCCATTTGTCCTCAAAAAAAGCTCTGGTTGTCCTATAAAGGTAATAGAATGTACGACAAGATTATTGGCAAGAAAAATTAGCAACGAGCCCCAAGTAATACTTAAAGAACTTCAGGGTGGACTCGAAATAAGTGGAGTGAAAGTGAGTATGGATACAATTAGTTGGTCACTTCATCGATATGACATCTTTTCAAGGACACCAAGGAAAAAAACAAAAAAAACATGTTCTTGCTAGACTGGATTTTGGAAATGAGCATTGTATTAAACCTGCAGCATTTTGGGAAAATGTACTTTGGTCAGATGAAACGACAATTGAACTTTTTAGCAGAAATGCTATGGCAAAGGTCTGGAGAAAGAAGGGTACTAAATATTCACCAATGAATACTATCCCAACAGTAAAATTTGGAAACAGATCAATTTGGGGTTGCTTTAGTACCAAAGATGTAGAGAACATTGAAATAATAGAAGGGAGGATAAATGGAACATATTATAGGGATATTTTGTAGAGAAATTTACATCAGAGTGCACATTCACTGGTTGGGCCTTTCAACAAGACAACAATCCTAAACATACTGCAAAGCTTACAAAATCATGGTTATGTTCAAATAGGATAGATGTTCTAAAATGGCCAATTCAATCTCCAAATCTCAATCTAATTGAAAATTTATGAAGAGAGCTGAAACTGAGAATTCAAAGAAGGAACCTGCAAAGCTTGCATGAACTAAGAGAATTTTGTCATGAAGAATGGAAAAATGTTACCCAAGAAACATGCAAGAAATTTATAGGGGTCTACACTAAACGCCTACATACTATAATTAGAAATAACAATTATGCTACCAAATAGTACTAGATGATTCAATAAATGTTTTGTAAACTTTTGCATTATTAAATGTTGATTTTACTTTGTGGGATATTTTTTATTATTTTTCAAATTCTGACTGTTTGAATAAAGGCTTAAAAATATGTATATTAGCAGTAAAAGTTTCATTAATCTGTGTTAGAAATACCTAAAGAAACATTTTTTTGCATCGCACTACAAGTTAAAACTAGAAAAAGCAACAGTAATAAGGCAAAAAGTTCACAAAGAATTGTATTTACATGCAAAAGGGATACAGTCAAGGGCTTATAGCGTTCTGACATCAAGAGAAGAAAGAACAAAAAATATGGCAGATGAGACCAAGAATTCATCCAGTTTTATTGGTTAAGAATAAACATCAGCATGTACCTGTGAGATTTCTCTATAAATTTAAGAAAGAGGATATTCTTGGCAGTCATTCCCAGTTAGCTGAAACCAAGTTCTGTGTCAAAACACTTATCAGGGCCAGATGTTTGATAAACCTTTATCTAACATCTGGCCCTGAAGAGCATCTCGACATGAAATTCTTGATTCAATCAGATAAGTCAATTGATCTTTTGTAGATTTACTGAATATTATAAACCTAGTTATCTATTAAGCATTTTTTAGCACAAGTTCTGCTGGCCTGAAGAATATGATAAATTCTTGTAATATTCATATTTTTCAGTTGTACTACTACTATTATTATTATTATTAATATATAAATTTTTATGTATGAAAAAGAAATATAGCACACAAAGTCTCTTATAACAATCAAAATGTAATGAAAGTCCCAAGTGCAACTTGTAGATAAAAAATTGTCAGAGAATAAAGAAATTAATGTTTTACATAACCAAAATAGATATTAATATGCTGATCATAGATTTTCAACAGCAGCAACAACTAAAATAGATATCTCATGTCACTCAAAAAGAAAATAATGACATAATCAAGATGTTGACATTCCACACTACTTCGAATAAAAAGTTAGAAAGGAAACTCCCATAAGTACTGTCAAGAGTGATAACAGCTACTGGACTTGAGAAACCTATTTTCTGGAAAAATTGTTTTAAGAGAAAGATTTTATAAACTTCAATTGATGCTAGTACTAGCTGCTTAATCAATGAATGCCAAATGTTTCCTTATAAGGAAATGGCTTATATTAACATTATCATTACCAGATGATGTAACAACATTTCAAATAGAAGGTTAGGAAGAAAGCCCCCATCAATACTGGAAAGAGCAATCACAGCTACTGGACTTGAGAAACCTATTTTCCTGAAGAATTGTTTTAAGAGAAAGATTTTCTAAATTTCAACCAAAAGTAGCACTGTCTGCTTGATCAATGAATATTGAATGTTTCCTTATAAGGAAACAGCTAATGTTTCAATTACCGTAGTTCATGTTTGTGTTTCATTAAAGATCTTTATTTGTTTAATGTACTTCTTTCAAAAAAGCAAATAGCATGTAATCATTTTTCTTTTCATTTAACACATTTGTATTGTTTGTTATTGCTTAGGAGACTCCTGGGCATCATCACCAAGAAGGATGTCCTCAGGCATATTGCACAGTTGGAGAATCAAGATCCAGAATCAATTTTGTTCAATTAAAACTGTTCATTATTGTGGAAAACTTGAAGAGTTCATCGGGCAACAGTCTGCTAACGGAGTGTGGCAAGTCTCAGATTCAATGTTCTACCGCCATTCCAATTGCAAAACTGCCAGACACCCAGTAAAAGAAGTGACATCTGGCAATCACCAATGCCAACACCACCACCACCACCCCACCACCCCATCTGTCCATCTTGTCTCTGTCTGTCTCTCTTGATTCTGGTTTGTTGTTGGCTAGAATTTTGATTTCATTCCTGTCAACTACTTGGCCAGGTTACCAAGTAGTTTTGCCCCCACTATGTTATCTTCTACCTGAAGTATTTGCTTATAATAAGTACATGGTTGAATATAAGACAATCACCTTTTTTCATATGGCCTTGTGCCAAACAAAGCTGTATTAAGGAAATGTTAAGGTGTTTTCAAAGACTTTGTCCATGAAATACTGTTAATGAACAATAGCAACCCAGAACCTTACAGGAAATCAATCATATTATAATTTGGCTTTTTCCTCTATTTAGATAATAAGTTAGTAGCATGTGTTACACTTTGCCGTTACCTCAGATAAATAATGGACCATTCCCTTTTGGTTGCAATGTAGAAAAAAATATGTCAGAGACATTGTTTTAGTGAGAAAAAGAAAGCCTACATAATTAGAAAGAAAGGGAAGATGGAGGAAATGATAATGCTCTCCTGTGTTTAATGTTTGCTTCAGTTAAGTGAGAAACTGTGTTAATTTTTAATCTTTTCATTTGTACCCCCTTACTTCTTTAAATAATGACCTGCATTCATACTTACAATTGTTATTGCAATATTTTATTCAAGTTGTTAAATATCTCACAATGCAAAAGGGAAATTTTTTATATTTTATGCACTATTTACATTGTTGCCATATTTATCACGTTTCGTCCGTTGAACACTCCGGCCTTCTTCAGGTAGTTGGAATGTCGAACTGAACCCTTTATTTCGCTTGCTGGTTAACAAAGATGAGGATGATAGTCCAAACAATGTAAATAGTGTACATAATACCTCATCTCAGAAATATAGACGGATATTTTATAGACGTGGAACTGGAAAAGAGATTATTCAATCATTAAACCTTTGCCAGTCCTGGGCATTTCCGAATGTACTATCCAATATTACATGTACCGATATTTCTAACAATGATAAAATGGAACTCACAAGATATAGTGGTCATATATGTATATTCTGAATATATAATAGTCATATAAGTATATTTTGAACATTTTATCAATGTCTGTTCGTTAATAGTATTAACTTAATACTTATTAACCCTTTGCCTGTCTGGGGCATTTTCGCGTGTACCATCCAAACATTCATACTTGTTTTCAGATTTATAACTACTGTAAAGCAACTCAGCTTATTTGGCAAATAGAATCTGCTGATATATGTTTTACATAATAAAAACCCGTTCATCACATGTAATGCACAGAATTTAAATCATAAGTTACATACGCTCTGTACATCACATGATACAAAGTAAAGTGGAAAAATTGATGCCATTCATTTGAGACCTTATATTATCAGTCAAGCATTCTGAGGTCATATACAATGTACAAAATATTAGATTAGGCCTTTCCTCAGATGTCCTGCTCAATAGTAGACGCTTTTCTTAAGCGTTCTTAGTTTTAATACTCTTTTAAATTCATGGCTCATGTGCACTACATATTCTACACGAACGTGGAAATCACACGTCCTGTACATCACATATGATGCGCAGGACAGGTAAAGAGCTAATGAACCGACATTGACTATTTTATTGTGAAAACATCGATGACTTAAAAAAAAAAAACAACTAAAAAATGTACGATGTGCAGGACAAGCAAAGGGCTAAATTCAAAATTATGATTCATCAGAAAATTCAAATAGGGAAATCTTGAAATTTTCATGGGCATTGTTAGTATTTAAGTGACAAAGAAAAATTTGGTTAACTTGAGTAACCTGAATAAATATTAAAATACTAATAAGTATTTTAATATTTATTCAGGTTGCCTTCTAGGATGATGTAGACATTGAAATATTCAGCGCAATCACACCTACCTTGAATTATCACAGTTCTTGCTTGTTACTGTTCAATAGTCATCGTCTTTGTAACAAGTGAAAACTTTGTTTGATTATCAGAGATAGGCAACACTCATAAGCCACACTGATTAAAATGGTTTTAACATGAATAAAAAAAGACATAATGTAAACTGATTAAAAAATCAATCCATTTTTTTTCTTTTTCATTTTTAGAGAGAAAATGAAAAATTATTTCTCTTACTACCATGACTTCAGTTTTCAAGAACATAGTATTAGGTCTCCATCATTTTTTAAACTAACAACCAATGTTTGAAAGCAGCTCTCCAATTCTTTTTCCACAAACACAGCCATATTCTTATTTCAGGCTCTCACAAAATACGGCTTCATTTAAAGATTCTTACATCTGATTCTGGTCAGTTGCTTTCTTCTCAGACAATGTCACTCAAATAAATAAAAATCTACAGAGACATGACAGAAGTATAAACAGGCATTTCTATTCTCAAACAAAATGCTTTATTCACAAACTAAAATGTAACTTTAGTGTGACACAATCACAAACAAAGAGCTTTACCAATCTCTGTCAGATCTGATGAAAGAGTGTCTTCTTTAAGATTTCTAGGATTAATTCATTTAAAGCCATTTTTAACCATCAATCTGAAAAAACAGTTGGGTTATATGCTGATGGTAGTTTAGACATCTCCAAATGGGTTTTCATTACAAAGCTAAGAGAACTTGACAATTTTCCCCTGTGCTACGCAATGCCTATGATGTATGAGGAACCACATTTAAAAAGACCCTTTGCCACATTCAACTGAAATAAGAAGGCATATAACACTTAAAAACGTTGGGTTCTTTCTGACTATAGCAGATTGCGAACTCGTGATTTTTTTTAAAAAACATGACTCATAGTGCATTTTTCATGTTAATATATTCTCGTGATTGATCAGACTACTGAAGGGCAGGTGGGAGAGAGGATGATTTTTATTAGGACATCATCTCTAGTTACACTGCCAACCAAGATTAAAGAGCTTCTATCTGTCCATGAGTTGAGCACTTATGACTACATATTAATACAACTATCACTGGCTTTTGAACAGTTTCATTTATTCAAGGAGTTCCTATCGTTTTTTGCACCATCACCTGCTTTCACATGGAAAAATTTTCCATATACCAACTGTATAGTAAATATTCAAAAACATACCATAATTGTTACAAGTTTGTTACTGGTTCATATACTGACTTTATGGTGTAGTGAAATAAAAAATATTAAAGGGAGGTAACAAATAACACTGATTTATCCAGTGGCAGCTGCTGCTACTGTACTAAAGAATAAACAAAAGCAAACTTATTGAAAATTGTTAGTGTGAATTTATGCGACTTGGAAGAAACTATTAACCGATATTCTAAGTTTAGAGTTGATGAAAGGTATAATTAAAAAAAAAGTCATTACAAAGAACATTTTTTTTTCATTAGTATCAATTGAATGTTGAATTTTAACAGATGCAACATATCAATTTTATTGATTGCTATATGTCTCCTCATAAGTTTAATTCTAGCCACAAGTGTCTTGAAACCAGTTATCCATTAAACTGCCATCTATTTCACCTACTTTGGTATTTAGGTCTCCCAAGATGATAATTTCTTGCAATTTACATTGCTATAATGGATATATTTTATATCTGTCTATTGAGGTATTTACACTATTTACATTGTTCAGACTGTTGTCTTCATATTCATTATCAGTTATCTCTTTTTAACTCAGCAAGTTTTTGTTTACCTCAGCCAGGTATTGAAGGCATAATTCTTTGTGTTAAGTTACTGGAATTCAACCAACACTTTTATCCACTGGGCCATGTGTCCTTGAGGATATCAGTGTATGAATTTTTGGGACTTATAAACCTAATGTGTGAATAATCATTTTCTTTTTACCAGAGCTCATATTACAATTTTTGCTGTTATTATTGTTTTTCTTTGTATTCTTCTTTCATGTGCCATGTTTCTTCAGGATGTAGGCGATCATGTCTCTCCACCTCCTTCTGTCCTTTGTAGCCCTCAATAAGTTTTGTCTTTTTGTTATTTTTCCCAGAACCCCTGTTCTGCCATCAACTTGCTTAAGCCTGTTAAGTATGTCACGTGTTGCTTTCCCTTGTCCTTCAATCCACCCTGTGAGATTTTCCAAGCCCTCCTTTCTCATTACATGTCCCAGAAATTTCAACTGCCTCTTCCTGATAACTATAAATTTCCTCTTTGTTTGCATTCTCTCCAAAACCCCATTGTTGCTCATGTTTGGTCCATGTTATCCTTAGCATTCTTCTGTAGAACCACACCTTTGTTGCCTCGAGTCTCTTCTTCATCTATGAGACCATCCAACATTCACTGCCATAAAGGAAATATCATGTAGCAGTTGAGTACTCTTTTCTTTGTTACCAATGAAACCCTCCTGTCTTGTAATGCTCTACCCAGCTTTTAGAATGCATCTTTGGCCATCCCAATACACCTTCAGATCTTGACAATTTCCATAAATTTAAATTTCTGCACCTGCTTGATTTTATATCCCTAACCTGTAAATCACATTTATTTCCCTTCTCACGCTCCTTCATTACTTTCTGTAGGAGGTTTTGTAGTTTCCTTTCTGTGTCTATCAACACTGTGTCATCTGCATATCGTATGTTGTTAAGATTGTGGCCACCAATAGTAAATTCTGGTAGTATTGACTCACTGTATAGATCGAATAAGTCCAGTGAAAAGACACATCCTTGCTTTATGGCCCTTTCTACTTTTGTATATCTGCTGAACTCTTTCCCCCCCCCCTCCGTATTACTGGTTCATAGTGTATTCATTTCTATGCTTGGCCGGCTTAGGAAATTTTTGTAGCTTAGCATATGCACTTATTCCTTAAGTTTTCATATTTTCCAATTTACCCTGGTGGACAAAATAAAAAGATTCATTTAGAAATTCTA